ATTAGATTGAGAGAATCTAAAAATCTTGTTCCTCAAGGTATTTTAAAAAAAACATAAACAAACGCTTTGAATCAGATGGATCATTGCGACAAATATTGCAGAGGCGAGATTGTGCCAAAAAAGTGATTGTCTGCTAAAATGTGATTTCAAATATGTTGAACTGCATTTTATGAAGGAGTTAGATATAAAATAAAGAAATGACATGTTTGGTGAGTATCCTAACGTGCTGTACCTACATTATAATCAATCTACTCCTTTTTTGGCCCTTAAAATATCTTTATAGAACTTTGATGTTATATTTGTTACAATTTCCACTGCCCTCTCGGCCAAATGTCTCTTGAAAAAGACATTTATATAACAGTCACTTTGCCAAAAAAAAACCAAAAACGATTGCAGCATCTACCTTGTAATAGCAATGCTCTTTGTGGCTCAAAATGACTTAATATCACTCATGAGAGGTATGTTTGAGATAGTTTTGCCACAATCCTTTTTTGGGAATTACCATAAATCACTTTTTGGCACAACAGGAAGGAGAATCCAAAGAAGGCTGGAAGAAGACGGCCTGCACTTCTTCACTTTTCCAGAAAGGTAACCAAATCAATCAATCATAGCTCCTCATATCACGATGGACAAAGTCCGAATTCTTTCTGAATTTTTTTAGTTAAACAAGAATTTGATTTGCGGCCCATAATTTTGTGACCTGTAGCATAAAACTGTCATTGCTGTTTCCACCACTGACTCCAGGTGTCGCCAAATCAACCAGCACTGAAATCTTTTTAGACAGCAAGTTTGAATCAGATTGTACTGTTCTGTTCTTGTAGTCCACACACTCCCTCCCTTCCAAATTTCTGATTTGTTTCTGCAACTACACGGGTACAGCGTGAACTCTGCTATGGGTTCTGGTCACAATGAGTCCAACAACTTGCCTAAGGAGCTTAAAACCAAAGAGGAAAAAAGCAGCAGTATTACAGAAAAGAGAGCAACAAATCCCATTAAAAAAAAGCCTTAAAACCATTGTTAGGCTGTTTTGTTGATTCCAAGTATGCTGTTAGTTCCAACAATCATATAACTGACCATAACTGTGGTTTTTCCTGCATATACAAAAGAGGTTTTGGCCATCAATCAAGTTTAAATATCAGTTTTGTTTATGAAATTGCCAAAAAGCAGTACAGAAAGCAGAAAAATGCACAGGCTTCTGTCGAGTAAGGTGACAGAGACCTGCACCATCACTACATATAGGTCAATCGTGGTTACATGCACAGTCACCCTGTGCTTTAGCTGTATTTTACCACACCGGCCTCGCTCTGCACCCACCTCTTGCAGTTTGAAATTCTTTCTTTCCGAGAACATGACCTCATTCCACACCACCTCGACTCCTTCTTCTGTGTCCATGGCCAAGTAAGCATTATCAATCCCAGGCACATTGCGCTGATTCACCTTTAGGGGAGTAAAAATAAATACATAAATAATGCACCAGGTGTTTATCCAAGTTAAGTTTGTGGAGAAAAAAAAAACTGCCCCCCCCTCCCTACCTCTTCTCTGCGTTTCTGCCAGCGTCCACAGGGGCTCTCCTCCAAAATCTCTGACTCATCCTCACTCTCCTCTTCCTCATCCTCCGTGGCAGCAGTAGCAGGAGGCTGGGTCACCATGGACACCGGCGGAGACACGGATGACACACCTTGACCTGTGGGTGCAGCGGCCGCGGACTCCGGCTTCACTTCCTGGACAGTGTCCGGGGCCTGCTTGCTCTCCCCCTCAGACATCTTCCCGGTTGTGAGGCCCAGCAGCCCGCTGCAGGACACACAAAATGACCCACCGGAATATAAACGCCACACTACATAATGTCATTTCTCATCTGCTGGGGCTGTACGACTGTTATTAGAAAGCTAGCAAGGCAACAACATGTAACTACGTGGTGGCTGTAGCCGGCTAATCTAGCTGCAGGTGAAGAGTCACCGTGGAGACTTTGCAAAAGGAAGTTAGCTCCAACGGGAAAGGTCACAATAAGTCACAATTATGAGCACAAACACATGGACATACATGTTATAGATGGGAGATGAGACGATGCCAGCTCCAGTTTAACAGACTCCCGTCGCCGAAGAGCAATCCGGGCCGGAGGTTTAGCTCTGTCAGCTGCGAATCTTCAATGTTTCTCGGCGGAGTTGCAGCTAGCTTTGCGGAGCTACGTTGCGAACTTCAACGACAGCAGACACAGCTAACGAAGAGTCTACGAGACACCCAGAACCTTTACTTTACTAACTCTGACATTAAACGTCTGTCGCTGTTTGTACTTGCTAGACCTCGTCAGTCGGAGCAGTCCTCCGCCCCTTACCTCTTCTCAAGACTCTTGCTAATGTGAGCTCTGACAACAGCCGCTGGTAGTGCGAGTAAACGTCACAGCACCACAGTCCTAAGTGTTGATTAAAGCATCACGACCATCACAGGAGCTCAGCACAGGAAGCACGGGCAGGCTAACCGTACCATTATCGTTATATCCTCGAACACAGTGGCTAACTGACTTGAGAGCTAGGTTAACATTTAGCCAGATATGATGGCGACAACTTCCAGATGCACACTGCACTACGAGCTCGGGCACGTCAAAGCCGTTGTGGGTTGCCAGATACAATGCTTTGAATCCCCCTTCTCGGGAGTTCAGATCGTTCCCACGTAACTTACACGGTGTTGCCTTCTTCTTGTACATTTATCCCACTTCACTGTTAAAAAATCAAGCTGATTTTAATAGCAGACAAAATTACACAAAAAAGGGGAAAACATAGTCTTTTAAGTGATGATTTACTAAAGGAAAAACAAAAACGGGACGTGTGAAAAATGAATTTCCCCCTAAACATAATTTTTTTGTGTCACACTTGGTACAGTACAGCTTTTGGGCTGATTAGCAATAAGTATTTATCATTATCATCAAGTTAAAATTGAGCATCAGAATGGGGAGAAGGGGATTTAAGAGACTGTTTAAGTGAGTGTTTTCTGGATCTGCTGGGATTTTCCAAATCAGCTACCTCTGGGGTTTACAGAGAATGGTCAGAAAATATCCAGCAAGAAGTTAAGTATTTGTATCCAAAAGTCAAAATGATAAATAAGTCAAATTTGCAATATTTGATTTGGTAGGCCATCATTTTACCTGATAATTTTAAGACAGTTAAACATAATCAGTTTGATTTATTCATGTAAAGGGAGCCACAAATGAAGAAGAAGATTTAGAAGGCATGAATGTCATAATGCTTCGTTATTAAAGGACTGGGGGGGAAAGCGTGTTTCTCTCAGACCTGGCAACCAGTGTTTAACGGCCTTCCTTTTTGTATTTGTTATGGGCATTGACTGACAGACATGTAGGCCAACTGAATAGTGAATGCCGGTGAATGGTTGTCTTTGTCAGCCAAATAAAACCATTCACAAGGAAGTCAGTGTTATTGCGTTTGTTTTACCGCTAGGTGTCTTTTCAGTCTACACGACTAATGTTGAATTAAACTGGGTTTAAATTGAGTCCAAATTCAAGCAGAACACACCACTTAATTTGTTTTTTAATTGAAAATGTTTACCTCCTGACTTTTGACTTTGTGTTGTACATAATTAGGTTTGTGTAAAGGTATTAAATCCAAAATATCGTAGAGTCTGCATTAAATATTTATTTATAGATAGTATAACAGCCTTTTCTGTCGATATGTAGATATTTGTGTATTGCTCATTATGTAGTATTATGCTGCATTTTTAATATTTTGTGGTTTCAAGGTAAGATAAAGTTACAAAAAAGGTGAACTCTTTAAATTCCCAGAAATATTCCAGAATAATTCTTCCTCACTGCCCATTGGCTGGATTTATGTAAATTTAATTACACTCACTGGCCACTTTGTTAGGTACACCTGTGTAACTTACTGATTTACCATGCTGACAATGACCTGCTGAAGTTCAAACTCAGCATCAGAATGGGAAATGATTTAAGTGACTCTGAATGTGGCCTGGTTGTTGGTGTCATCGCTGTCGTTTACAAAGAATGGTCTGGAAACGAGAAAATATCCAGTGAGCAACGTTTTTTGGGTAAAAATGCCTCATTGATGTCAGAGATCAGAAAGAGTATTCCCAGAGCGCTTTGAGGTGTCAGATAACCACAAATAACCAGTCGCTGCATCCAAGAAATAGAAGAACATCTTTGAAGCACACAAAACATACAACGTTGAAGCAGATCGGATTCGTTCACGTTTACCAAAATTGGACAATAGAAGACTGGAAAAACAATGTAGCACCCACTGAGCATCATTTCAACACCACAGCCTACCTTAGTATTGTTACTGACCACGTCTCTCCCTTTATGATGACAATGTTCCCATCTACCTGGCTACTTCCGGGAGGATAACTCATCATGTCACAAAGCTCAAATGATCTCAAACTGTTTTCTTGAACATGACAATAAGTTCACTGCACTATAATAGCCTCCACAGTCACCAGATCTCAATGCAATATAGCACCTTTGGGATGTGGTGGAAGAGGAGATTCACATCTCTCCTCACATTGCAACTGTGTGATGTTATCATGTAAATATGGACTAAAGTCTCTGAGGAATGTTTCCAGCACCTTGTCTCATCTATGCCATGAAGAATTAATGCAGCTCTGATGACAAAAGAGGGTCCAACCAGATACTTGCAAGGCGTACCTAACAAATTGGCCAGGGAGTTTATCTTTGACTGTTGTATGAAAGTAGTAATTATCAAGCTGTACATTATAAAAAGGACTAACCAACAATTCAATTAATATTTTTTAGGAAGTGGCATGAGGACTATAGTAGCAGCTTATTTTCTAGTCTCATCTTGACCCCCATTGCAGATTTTCTTGTCAAAAGTTAAAAAAAAATTGATTAAGCTCTTTTAGAATATGGACCACCCTTTTTAACCTCTCACGGTGACTTGGAAATGTTAGGACAGGGTCAGAGTTTCCCTCTGAGAAGCCCCCGCCCCTCTTTTAAAAGGTCTATAATTAGGTTCAATGAGCTCCAGGGACACAACAGTGAGTGCTGGTGTGAGAGCAAGACTGGTGGCTGCCCATGACCCATGACAGCACTTTTTATTAAATAAAGGAACTAAAAGTGAGCACTGGAATCAGGGAGGTTACAAGAACGTTTTTGGGGCTATTTCGAAGCTTCTTGTGCAACAGAGTTCCCGTTTTGCACTTGAGAGAGCCGAGGAAAGGCCAAGGAGTTCACTAACAAGATGGGAGATGAGAAACAAGACGGCAAAGTGCTTCTCGTTGAAGAAACAAAGGTGAAAGTGCTTTATGAAACTGAGACATCTCTCCAGCTGGATACCAAAGCTGAGTACCCAAATGCAGGGTCAAACTCCATCTACTCAGCAATTCTCAGCAGGAATGAAGCCGTCAAAGATGCCAAGCGTCTTAAGACCTTTCTGGAGCTGCGAGACAAATATGTGGAGAAGAATGTTATGTTTGAAGACCCTCTGTTCCCTGCAGATGACTCCTCACTTTTCTACAGTAGGAAACCTTCAATGAAGATTGAATGGAAACGTCCGTCGGTGAGTGCCAGTCTTCAGGGATCGTGTTGTTTGGGCCAAGTTGCACATAATGCGAATGAGTCTCTTACATGTTTACATAAGTGCTTCTCTTAAATCTGTGTACCTTATCACTTCCTCCACACCACATGGCTGGAGTGTCAGGTTCAGACGGTTGCATGGTGGCTCACGCATTGCGCTCGGTTATCACCTTCTACAATCACAGACAGCTGTGATTCTCACGCAGAGGGTCGCACTCAGCTGGTGCTGGGATTCAAACTAGCAACTCAGCGTTGACCTCGGGGGTTCATATTTTTATGATGCACACTCCCAAAAGGGCTTGATACTTTTCCAGGGCGTTTGCCTTTGGCGATAAATGAGTCAGATTGGCAGTCATTAAAGTGGCATTTGGCAAAAGGTATTCAGACATGTTCATGTTACATGCAAACACACTGAGAAAGACATTAGCACCAAGAGGCAGAAGCAGCGATGAGAAAAGTCCTGCCTGTTACACAAAACTTATGAATCAATGCCAGAATGTAAAATGCTCTTTTTGAATTATTCCAAATATTAGCTCACAAATGTAAGATGACCACCTGGATCTTTACATAGTAAATAAATCAGTGGATCCAACTGGACGCCTTGCTAATCAGCTGTTTTTGCTTTAGCATATTTAATGTTTCCGTCATAATATAAATGCTTTATGAGCTACAGTGTCCATATTTCTTACCCTGCATAGCATGTACAGGCTGGAAATATGCACAAAAAACCACATTGTGGTATGTGTCATGGATTTAAGAGCTTTAAACTGTTACACTTCGTGACACACCTAGTTCTTGTCAATTGTGGGCGGACAGATTTGTGGACAGTTGATGCTTCGCCATGACATCAGCTCATCGATCCTTTGGCTGGATGAGCGAACAAAAAGAAGAAAAAAATTGAAATCTGTAGTGTAATATAGGATATCAGATAAAGGAAGTGGAGTTAAAACCACAACAAAGTGGAAGTATTACATTTTTTTTCCTATTCAACACTTTTTAGTGTTGTACAAAGGCATTCGATTCCATTACACAAAATTGACGGAAGTATGATAAAAATGAAAAGAAAATCAAAAGTTAGGATAAAAAGTTGTTTAAAAACCCGGGTGCAAGATTATAAAAGGTGTTAAATAGAAATAAATAAATACATATATGTATTGCATCATCACTGACCTGTATGAACAGCATACATATGGCTCTGTCTATTCCTTTCAGCATGATGGTATGATATATTTTTTACATTTTCATTAAATCATAAGAAAATAATTTTCAACCCAACATTATTCGCTAATCTCATTCTTAAATGCCTGCTTTGTAAATCCAGTATAACACTAACACGAAGGCTGATTGCTGCTTCATGTTTCACCAATGAAGCGTGAGACACTCAGCTGAGATCAGTGATACTTGAATGCCACACAGGGGTCAGCTGTGGAGGGTGCTTTAAATCAGGAACATGAAACTGCATTTTTATATTTTATGATGTAAAATGGGGGAAAATAGTTTGTTTTTCTTCAAAATTACTATGAAATTGCACACTACTAAAAATTGCTTACATTATATTCTGTGTACCAAATCTAACTATGTTGTAATTTCAAATAAAATACATTTTCCATTTTAATTCAGGGGAATTACGGCCTTAGTCACAGGCTGTATTATACAATGGAGATGTATGACCCACAGCATAATTCATACTTAAGTCAAATGCTGAAATCATGTATGTATATGTGTGTGAATATTCATTATAGTAGACAGTCTGGACAACAACGCCTTGTTTTACAAATACATTTGTAATCAGGAGTTATGAGGTGAGGTCTTTTATACCAGAGGGCCTCTAACAGGAGCTTCCATGTAAATATGAAGTGAATGCAGAGGGCGTCTCATGGTTCCAAAACCTGACCTGGCAGAAGGCATTACATCACTTGCTTTCAGTTGTAAATCCAGATTTTAGTTTTCCAGCAACAGAAATATAAGCTTTTATATTTTATATATTTTATATTGCAAGTAAATTGAGTGTTGGGGAAGCGGTAATCTGAAATCTAACCATGAGAAGTTTGGTAAAAACAGAAAGCAAACCAGGGCAGCATGTCAGGATGGACAAATCCCCTTTATCATTTCACAAGCTTCAAATCTTTGAAACTCCTCAACTAAAGACCTTAATCCGTCCCAAAAGAGGTGAGGAAATGACACGAGGAGAGAAGAGTTGAGGAGACGGATATTTACAAACCCAATTCTGAAAAGGTTCAGCACACGGACTTTTCTTTTACGAAGCTGTGCTTTTTAATAGACACAATATGTGGTTTACCATTGTGTTTCTGGAATAAGTAAGGCTCTCTCTGAATAGACGTTAGGAGCACATGTCACTCTAAAACCCGTATATACCTTTCAGCACTGATAGTGCCTTTTCAGATGCACAGGCTGAGTTCAGAGACGATCGTAGATTCAGAGATGAACAGTTTTTCAGTTTGTTTCAGTCGTTTTTAAATGAGATTTCTAGATGTGATCATGTTCATACATGGCTTCTTCTTTGCATCACAAAGCATTTGCGGATTGCAGGATGAACTGTGTCCACATTCAAAGATTTCTGGAAGTGATTCCCATGCCAGAATCGTGCAGTGCTGCCTCAGTTCCCAAAGATTATGACCATCCAATACTGATTTTCAGCCTTTCTGATACACAGAGTTCTCCAGAGTTTCTGAACCTTGTGATGATATTATTCACTTTAAATGGTGAAATATTCCAAGTTGTCACAATTTTACATTTTGGAGTATTATTCTAAAATTGTGCCACAATTCGTGAATTCAGTTTTCTTTGCAGATTGGTGAAGCTTTGCCCTTTACTCTGGAGAAACTTTGCCTCTAAGAAGTTATTTTTAAACCAGTCATATTACTAACCTGTTGCCAAATAAACTATTTAATTGCAAAATGTTTCCCCAGCTGTTTCTTTTTAGTACCACTTATTTTTCCAAGCTTTTGCCACTCTCTCCCTAAGCTTTTAAATAACAGGTTTTAAAATCATTACAGATTTATACATGTATAAAATATATCGTATATTTAAACATACATAACAAAACTCTGGGATCAAAATAATTTGATGTCAAAAAATAATTTTGTGATACAAACTACTGAATAAACATAAATCTGATGTTTGAAAGCAGATATTAAAGTTGTATGAACACAAACAGCCGTACAGAACCTTTGTCTGGTATCCGTTACATTATAATCAGGAGCTTAATCTGTACAAATAACTTGGAACCAAAGTTTCTGGTTTTATATACAAAGCCAACTTTTTCCATGCAGTTTGATGCCAAAGGAAAAGTGGCGCAAAGAAAGAAAGTCCTGGGTTTTCTCTTGGTGCTCAGGTTTCTCACGGGGTAACTGTCTGTCAGGACGCAGGAAGTGTTGCAAAAGAGATTTTTAATCTCAAGAGTTTCACTTCCTGGATGAAGAAAATATAACAATTGAGATTCTATACCGATTCTCCACGGAAAGAACAATTATTCTGCCTTTTAGTCATTTTCGTCATCTGCTGACACATAACAAATGCATTATGTCATGGAGAACATCCTTTGGTTAAATGAAAAAGTACATCATTACTTTCATAATGTGAAACGACTGAGATTTCATAACATATTTTTTTAAAAATTCCCTTCCTGACGTTTTTTGTCTTCCAGGAAATTTGTGAAAACCCCCAGTTCATCATAGATGGAGCCAACAGAACAGACATCTGTCAGGGAGAATTAGGTAACATCTGAACTGCCTGCGCTTTCAAAAAAGTGATTTTACCCACATTTCACTCTTTTGAAAAGACATTACAGTGGTTTTTTAAGCCTGTATGTTAAGTTAGCACTGTCGCCTCATAGCAAGAAGCTCCAGCTGGGGCCTTTCTGTGTGGAGTTTGCATGTTTTCCTCATGTTTGTGTGGATTCTTTCCGGGTACTCAGTCCAAAAACATGCATGGTTTTAATTAATAGGTTAATTAGTGATTCTAAATTGGCAGTGTGAATAGTTTACTATCAAAAGCCCTGCCTCTAACAAATTTTTATAAAAGGGATGACATCAAACAAAACAGCTACCAGAGCCTGAAAGCATTAAGTCGAGCAGTGTAAGTGTCAGTTTCATCTGCATCTGATTTTATATTGGTTATGGGGCAAGTGAGCATGCTGAACAATTACTGACCTCGGGCCTGAGTTCGAGTTCGAATTCTGACACTTGCAGCAATTTGGTGTGTGACAACTCTGTTACCCTGTGAAGTAATTTGTTTGGATGAAATCACAGCTCATCAATCTGTTGTCGACAGGTGACTGCTGGCTGCTGGCTGCCATCGCCTGTCTCACGCTGAACGAGAAGCTGCTGTACAGAGTTATTCCCCCGGACCAGAGCTTCACCGAAAACTACGCCGGCATCTTCCACTTCCAGGTTGAAATGTGACATTTTGGACATCGTGCTGTTAACAGAAAACCATTGTATGTGTGTCAAATTTCTAGTAAAAGGAAAACCAAGTAAAACATATGTCAAAGAGTATTTCAGATTTAGATATATTAGTTTTTTACTATGATCGTTTGGTCAGTGGGAGAGTAATTTTTTATAAATACATTTTTATGTTCTTGGATAAAGTTTAAAAATGCGCCTTGGTTTGGTTTTGTTGAGTGTATTTAGTGTTAATAACCTGATTGTGAATATGTTCACTCATAGCTCAGTCTTTAAAATGAATACAATGGGGTAAAACGTTTAATGTTTGCCTCAAAAACATATTTGAATAAACACAGTGTTATAAAGTGTTATAAAATTTTAAAGACGTAACTCAAAATCACATTTGAGTAGATGACAATAAAACCTTTTTTAAAAAATCCAAATATCTCAACATGGAATTATACTATAGTATCTATTAATGTGAAACATGATATGATGAAGGATATACAGATATTTCTGTCAAATGAAAAATGTTGATGCCTTTTTTCAGACAGAATTTTTGCTTCATGTTTATTCAGTTCAATTCAATTTTATCACAACAACAGTCGCCTCAAGGCGCTTGATATCGTAAGGTAGACCCTATAATAACACATACAGAGAAAAACCCAACAATCATATGACGCCCCATGAGCAAGCACTTTGGCGACAGTGGGAAGGAAAAACTCCCTTTTAACAGGAAGAAACCTCGGTCAGAAACAGGCTCAGGGAGGGGCGGGGCCATCTACCGTGACCAGTTGGGGTGAGAGAAAGAAAACAGGATAAAAGACAAGCTGTGGAAGAGAGACAGAGATTAATCACAAGTATGATTTAATGCAGAGAGGTCTGTTAACACATAGTGAGTGAGAAAGGTGACTGAAAAGAAAAAACTTAATGCATCATGGGAGTCCCCCAGCAGCCTACACCAATTGCAGCATAACTAAGAGAGGATTCAGGGTCACCTGATCCAGCCCTAACTATATGCAATTGTTGGAAAGTCTTAAGCTTAATCTTAAAATAGAGATAGTGTCTGTCTCCCGAATACAAACTGGAAGCTGACTCCATAGAAGAGGGGCCTGAAAACTCTATGAACAACAAGTGCAAAGTGCTCTAATGGGGTGATATGGTGCTAAAAGGTCATTAAGATAAGCTGGGGCCTGTTAATTTAAGACCTTGTATGTGAGGAGCAGGATTTTGAATTCAATTCTGGATTTAAAAGGGAGCCAATGAAGGGAAGCCAATACAGGAGAAATATGCTCTCTTTATAGTCCCTATATGTCAGTTATATGTCAGTACTCAGTCTGGAGCATTTTGGATTAACTGAAAGCTTTTCAGGGAGATTTCTGGACCTCCTGAAAACAATGAATTGCAGTAGTCCAGGGCATAGAACACATTTTGAGCTGATGATAAAAGTTTAAAAGATGTTTTTCACATGTCACATGAAAAGTTATCAGTTGTTTCACCTTACTTAAAATTGATAAATAAATAAATCATGTTGTGGATGGCGAGCTATTTTCCTTGTATGGTAAAAATACTTTGCCATGTCATCAATGACTTTCTCTGTCGTTTCCACACTCAGTTCTGGCGTTATGGCGAGTGGATTGATGTCGTCGTGGACGACCGCATTCCCACCTGCAACAACCAGCTGGTTTTCACAAAGTCTTTCAGAAAGAACGAGTTCTGGAGCGCTCTTTTGGAAAAAGCTTATGCCAAGTAAGCAGAGCCTATTAATGTCCCATGCAGTCAAGCAGTCATGCACACCGTCATCTGACACGCGTTGCTGTTCAGCGTGGTTCAGATTTCCAGTCCATACACCGAACGACAGTTCTTGTTTCTTCTTATTGAAAAAAAGTCTGGCATTGAACTGTTTCAGGTGTTTTTAACGCAAATTGAGGTTTTTCAATAAAAGTTTTAGTCTGAACAACAAATCTCAGTCTTAAACTGCGATTTAGCAACCAATTATGAACTGTGTTACTGAGCCGTATGTACTTTTGCAGTGTACTCTCACACTGATTTGTGACACAAATCGAGCGTCCTCATATTTCCCGAATTGACAGCCAGCTGTGTGAAAAGTATCAGCCCCGGAGAACACACATGTCAGCACACTGACCAGAATGATCGACCTCTCTCTCAGGTTGCACGGGTCTTATGAGGCACTGAAAGGAGGGAACACTTTGGAAGCCATGGAGGATTTCACAGGTGGAGTTACCGAGTACTTTGAATTGTCTGATGATCCCACAGAGCTCTACAAGATCATGAAGAATGCACTGGAGAGAGGCTCACTGATGGGCTGCTCCATAGATGTATGTGTTTGAGGTTAAAGCATCACTCTTTGTCATGTTTCTTTCATTTCATTTTAAGTGTTAGCAAGTCAAATGCACAGATTTCACACAAAGTTTTCTACATTTTTTTCCCTCCCCTCAGCTCTGTCAAAGAGAGCAGATATCTGTCATATGTAACTCTCAGGCACGCAGCCCCACCCACCTGCTGTTTTGCTGTTATTGGCTTAAAATGGCTTAGAGTTAAAATGACTTATTTCGGACAGGGAATAAACTGAGTGTCCACAACAATACCAAGTATAGGATAAACAAGGATTATTTTGAACTGTGAATCAGTCAAAGCTACTATGGAGTCTAATAATAAAACACATGATGTATGCTTTGTCTGTCAGGTTTCTTCAGAGAGTGAATTGGAGAGTCGGACTGAGCAGGGGCTGGTCAGGGGTCATGCCTATTCCATCATAAGCCTGGAGGAGGTAGAGTGAGACATCCATGTAAATGCACATCGTCTGGTGGACAAGGCATTTTTTTGGTAATTTTTTTTTCCTGCTTCTTTGCAAGTGTGATGAGGTTTCAAAGGACACAAGAATTCGCCTGATTCGTTTGCGCAATCCCTGGGGTTTTGTGCTCTGGAAAGGACCCTGGAGTGCAAAGTTTGTATATTTTTACTCTTAAATAACGCAGCATATCACCCTTAAGTAAGACATGGTGGTAGTGGAGGTCTCACCACTTGCCAGCATAATTAAAAAAATAGTGTCTCCTATTTGCTTAGTTTGTATTTAGGAAATTTGATCTTTCCACAGTTCAAAGGAGTGGTCGACAATTTCCGCTGCAGACAGAGAAAACCTGAAAAAACAGACCATAGAGGCAAGTGAGTTCTGGTGAGTGAAACACCTTCCCACACACCTTTTTGTCTATAATGACTTAACTTTTTTTTTTTTTTTTTTTAAATCTTTCATCCACAGTTTTGTGAGAAGTTACTACTACAGTATAATATAGCTACCATCACTGTTAGTGTTCAGCTCAAATCACAGCTTAGCATCAAACACCTTATGGTGACTTTGAGATATCAGTGTACATAGAATGACTTTTCAACTGCCACCGTGCATGGCCTCTTTGTTGCCCCACTACTGATAAAAACCTATAAATAGCAAAACCCATCCATCCATCCATCCACCAAGCAGTTTTGTTCACTACAAAATGAACCTGCAAAGAGATACAATTTCTAACTTTTTACAGTATAATACTACAGTCAAATTTCAAAAGCCAATAAAACCTAGGTGAATGCTAAAAGTATTTAACTGTACTCAAATATCTGTAAAACTCTTTGGAGTTGTTCTGCCACTGTTTACTTAACATTTTCCTACTTGAGAACCATTTGTTTGCATTGCATTGTGAGGGAATGATGAACCTAGTGATTGTATTTACTCAGCAAGCACCTTTTTTATTTTTACTTCTTTTGTGTTTCACTTCAGGATGTCCTTTGCTGATTTCAAGAAGAATTTCAGCAAGCTGGAGATGTGCAACCTGACCCCCGACACGCTGCAGGGGGATGAAAGAAACACCTGGACAGTGTCGGTCCACGAGGGTCGCTGGGTGAGAGGAAGCTCTGCTGGTGGCTGTAGGAACTTCCCAGGTAGGCTTTGTTCTTTTTGGATCAGCTTTCATACTTTTAAAAGACGATATTGTAAAAACTCTCACTTACATAATTCGTGTTTATATGAATCTGTGCTGCATATTTACTTTGTGTATTTTACAGACACGTTTTGGACAAACCCTCAGTATCGTCTGCAGCTGTATGAGGAGGACGATGACCCGGATGACGAGCAGGTGGCCTGCACTGTTGTCGTGGCACTGATGCAGAAAGGTCGAAGGATGCAGCGCCATCAAGGGGCCAAATTTCTCACCATAGGCTTTTCCATCTACGAGGTAGTGATCACACCTCATTTTTTCTTCAGAAAGTACACACGTGTCCAGGATTTCAGAAGTTAACCTGATATTTAACTTCTTTTGTGTCTCTGCAGGTGCCGAAGGAGGTATGATGATCTTGCATCTTTCACTTTATTTGCTTGTATCCCCAAGAGAGGTTTCACTTGTATAAAAAGGGGGGAAAGAAAAGTTACAATACATTATAATATTTCTTATTGCTATCATTAACAAGTCACCATTTCTACAACCCTGTTCACAGATGTGTGGGCAGAATCAACATCTGCAGAAGGACTTCTTCCTCTACACAGCCTCCAAGGCAAAATGCAAGAGTTACATTAACCTGCGGGAGGTAACGGAGCGTTTCTGTCTGCCTCCCGGTGAGTACGTCATCATCCCCACAATCTTTAAACCCCACGAAGAAGGAGAGTTCATCCTCAGGGTCTTCTCTGAGAAGCAGAGCACATCAGAGTAAGGGTTACTATCGTGTTTTTCTTGAGAGCCAAATTGCTTTTAAAATTACAAGATGTAGAAAGGCAGCATTGCTGAGGTATGTTTGCTTTTCTCCACAGGGAGGCAGAGACTACGATTGGATCAGATCAAACGCAGGTTTGCAGCGTAATGTTAGAAACAGTGGGGTTAAAATATGTTCTTGCTTTTATTGCAGTGGACTGTAAACTGAAAGGCTGGTTTATCTTTCCTGTTTAGAAACCTGTGTTTTAATCACACACACTCACCGGTCATTTCATTAGGTATACCTTCATAGTACTAGGTTGTACCCTTTTTGCTCTGCAGATTTGTCAGCTGCACACGTGATAGGACTCTCCTGTTCCACCACATCCCAAAGGTACTCTATTGGATTGAGATCATGGGACTGTGGAGGCTATTTGAGTGCAGTGAACTTATTGTCATGTTCAAGAAACGAGTTTGAGATTATCTGAGTTTAATAATGTAATAATGCAGCGCCTGGGGAGCAGTGTGTAGGGACGGTACCTTGCTCAGGGGTACCTCGCTCAGGGGTACCTCGGGGTAACCGTTCAGTGGAGTCGAACCCCCGACCTTCCGATCATGGGGCCACCACTCTACCTACTGAGCTATAACTGCCCCTGTTTTGTGACATGGCATGTTACTGTGCTGGAAACAGCCATCAGAAGATGGATACACTGTGGTCAGAAAGTAATAGACATGGTCACCAACAATACTCAGGTAGGCTCTGACAGTTAAATGTTTTTGGTACTAAGGAGACCAAAAGGTGCCCGCACCATTATTCCACCAACAGCAGGCTGAATTGTTGATACAAGGCATGATGGATCTGTGCCTACATGTTGGTTACACCAAATTCTGACCCAACCATCCATAATTCAGACTCAGAACACCCAAAATTTTTTCCAATCTCCTGTTGTCCAATTTTGGTGAACTTATGCAAACTAGCCTCGGTTTCCTGTTCTTCTGCTGCTGTTGAAGAAATGTACACGATGACTGGCTGATTTGTGTTAACAAACAGTTGAATGGGTGTACCTAATAAAGTGGCTGGTGAGTGTATTTCAGAAACATCTATTCAATTTTGTTTATTTATTTATACAGTGCCAAATTTGCTAGTTGGGGTTGCATCACATCCTTACTGTAGCACTCAACTCCCTCATCATACTTGCACTCAGTTAATGAAGATACTGGACTTTCTCAGCTGTGACAGTGTATTGACTGTTTGGGGAAGTGTAAACCATACTATATCTTCTTTAATTGTTTCTTTTGTACAAAATGGAAATGGAGATCACCTCTTTACCTTTTTATGGGACTTTTAATATAACTGAAGGACTCTGATGAAGGACACAAAGACGGGGTTGTTAATCCATACATACAAATATGCAGGTTCAGTTCCTTACACCAAAGCACTAGAGATGAAAAGTAGAAAAGATAAAGAATTTTGGGGGGAAAATCCCGCTTCAAGAAGGATGAAAATACTAAATTCATCTTTCCATGGAGTGCAGCAGACAGTCATTAGATGCCACATTTAACTTTAACACTATGCTCACATACAACTCCGTATTCTTGGACTCAACTTAAGTAGCTTTGCATATATTTGGTTCAAAATAACCCTCATGTATCCTAGGTGCACCCCCTTCAGTTAATCCACTGTATGAAACAAGCTCCCTTCCACTTAACCTCACTCGCTCCTAATTGGCTGCTCCAACAAAAAGTGGCAGGGCCCCGCCCACCCTCTTATTCATACATACATATATCTGGCCGAATATGACACTAAACATCCCACTCCCTGTTTAAAGTCTGCATTAATATGCCTTTCAGATCAGCATGTCCTACAGATCACTGCAATGTCGGTTAGAATTTGATTTCAAAACCCAGCTTTGTGTCTTACATATTCATTAACTTTACTCTTGAACTTTCCCTAGCTTGTTCTGATGCATATGTTCTGTACTCAGACCAACTAATAGACTTGAACTTCCAAGTGTTTCCTCCTCCATTTCATCTCATTTCATCTTTTTGTCTCTCCTTGTCTTATTGGTCACCAGCAAGAAAAGAAACAGAAAGAAAAGGTAATGAATGTCTGTAGCAGTTGGATTGTTAGGCTGCTTTTTTGCTGAGCTCTTTCTTCACTGCTCCTTTCCAACACGTGTCAGCTATTAGAAGCGTTTGCCGACACAATATTAAATGTAGAGTTTATGACCAGTGGGATTACTGCAAACTGACTCTTTTTTTTAAAATTCTTTTTGTCTTTTCTACATGTCAGCCTATTGTATTTGTGTCAGATAGAGCACTGGCCAGCAAAGAAATCGAGCACGACACGATTCGGGGGGAGAAGAAGAAGAAACCAAAGGTAAATGTCCTTGGTGTGGCGAGTCTTCTGTCACATGGCAAACAGCTCATGTCTGTCATATTTTCCTGGTGACTGATGACTCCAAAATGCAATCTTTACTGGATCAGATAACATGACTGGGAATAAAACAATTGAGTCTGAAGCCAGTAGAGCTCAAGTAACTCAGCTGCACCTGTTTTCCTGTAGAGACACTCTAATGTTAGCTGTCCGCAGTCTTGTTTTTCCCATATGCTGCTCTCCTCTGGTATCATAGAGAAACACATCCAATCATTTAATGATTAAATAGACTGATAAAAGCCATGAAAACCCCAAGATGTATTGGACTACATGATACTGCACAGTAGTACCAAATAGAGACTGACTGAGTGTACAGCGTTCTGTATAAAATTAAAGTGAAATCTTCAAGTGAAAACCTTTTGAAAATGACCCAACTTTGTTGCTTCGAACATCAGGAAAAATCGTTGTCTGGCAGGAAGAAGATTATCCACAATTATTTCTTCACAAAGCCAAACACAGACTCAGTAGTGGAGTCCGGTCTGGGCTCTGGCTGGGCCGTTCCAGTACTTTAATCTTCTGGTGAAACCAGTCTTTGTTGATTTGGACGCATGCATTGGGTCATGAATTGATGAAAGGGGGAATTCCTCAAAGGTGCCACTTTGATCGCTTATATGTCTATATAAACTTAAGTTTTAAAACTTATATCCATAACTCGTGTAAAAAAGTTTTCTTTGCAGTCCTCTCAGAAACGACGTATACTGTTAATGCTTTTAGGTGCTTGTAATCAAATGCACTTGATTAATTGATCATCAGAAAGTGGGAGCACCTCTTTAAATCAGAGGTTTTGACTGTTTACTGATGAGAAAAATTCTGTTGTGTGTCAATACAATGCAACAATCTTCCCAGGAGTGGATGTATCACCAAGTTCACCCCAAGGTAATGCTCAGAGAAACTGAACTGGAAGAGTTGTCAGGAAGAAGCCTCTATTCTCTAAAACAAACATGGCAGCAGAGCTTTGGCTCACAAAGTTGAATCTGAATAAACCACAAGACTTCTGGAACAGTGTCCTTTAGACAGACGAGACCAAAGTGAAGGTGCACGACATCACGTTTAGTGAAAACCAAACACCACATATCAACACAAAAACCTCATACCAACTGCCAGGCATGCTGGGGGAGGGGTGATGATGTGGGCTTGTTTGGCAGCCACAGGACCTGGACACCTTGCTGTAATTGAGTCAACCATAAACTCCTGTGTATACCAAAGTATTCTAGATCCAAATGTGAGGCCATCCGTCAACAGCTGCCGAAAGCTGAAACTGGGTCGTGCAACAACAAATCTACAACAGAATGACTGAAAAAGAAAAGAATCGAGGTCCTGTGCACAAATGTCCCCAATGAACTGACGCATCATTGTAAAGACTCATAAAGTCATACAGAAAATGATTACTTCAGGTTATTGTGCAGTTCTACAAGTGACTGAATCAGCCATGCTTTAGTTTTTCATGGGACTGCACAGATTCCTGTGAAAACTTTCTTCTTCCACAACTACAGGTGTTGGACTCTTTGAGTTAGAAGCATTCGAACTTTGAAACCTTATTTCTAATCTTTAGTTACTGCTGCACAGCAAAGTTCATCAGTGTTTCTTTCCTTCACGTTTCTAAGTCTTCGCAGTTTCTTTTTGTGAACCTGTCTTTGTAAATAATTTCTTTCCTCTCTCCTTCAGCAGAAACTTCTCCAACCTGAGGAAACCGATGAGGAAAAGCAGTTCAGGGCTATTTACCAACAGATTGCTGGTGATGTGAGTATTGCACAGTTAGTTTGAGGAAAACACTATAAAGACTCTCATCGGCTAATATGAAACAAATCATCGCTCCCTCAGGATATGCAGATCTGTGCCAATGAACTCAAAACGATCTTAAAAAACGTGCTTTCCAAACGTGAGTACGCAGAAAAGATTGCGATTACAGCTGCCGCCAGCGTGCTCGGCATTCACACTGAGCTGTGCTTTTCCACAGATAATAACATAAAGTCAGAAGGTTTCAGCCTCGAGACGTGTCGGAGTATGATCGCCTTAATGGACGTATCCTTTCAACTGATTTCAATTAGAGGATTGCGTGCACATAACTCTACTGTTTGCCCAGTTTCCCAGTAACAGAAAGTAAAACAGTTGGGTTGAACAGTACGTAGCAGGTGTTTCCATGACTGATGCTTTTGTGCTCAGACTGATGGGACAGGAAAGCTGAATCTGCAGGAGTTCAAACACTTGTGGAAAAAGATCAAGGACTGGCAGGTAGGATAGCTTTAACCACAGCTGATGTCTGCTCATGCTTGATATGTTTTTATCTGATTGTCCGACTTTGGGTCTGCAGCTCATCTTCAAACGTTACGACAAAGATAAAACCTGGTCTATCAGTAGTTTCGAGATGAGGAATGCTGTTAATGATGCAGGTGAGCAGAAAACACTTGCAGATTTTTCATTTGTAGCACAATAATTATTATTTCTTTTTAGAATTAACATATTTTGCCAATGCACTCCTTGCCCGTGCGTTCCAGTTTAATGTGAGAATGATGTCATTTACATATTTAAAGATATATATTTTTTATCTCCATATCAGGGTTTCAACTCAACAAACAACTGTATGACATCATAGCAATGCGCTATGCAGATGAACGCCTGAACATTGATTTTGATAGTTACATCTGCTGCTTTGTGAGGCTAGAAGGCATGTTCAGTAAGTACAGACCACACACATCTGGTGCCAAAAACACTTGCATAGGACTGATTATTAGCCTATTTGACAGATTTAAGACATTGTTATGATGATATAGTGATATTAAATTTACTTTACTGAATCTAATTATCTTACAGAATGAATTAATGTATTTTTAAAGCTCTGAGTGGTTGAAAAGTTACCCAGCTCCATAATCTGTTGTCTCTTATAGGAGCATTCAGTGCCTTTGACAAAGATGGAGATGGAATAATCAAGCTCAACGTCCTGGAGGTAAGACACTCTTATTTTTGCCGTTCTGTGCCTCGTTCCATAACTTAATCTGGTCCTATTTAGGTCATTTGTGACCTTGTAAAGAATAAAACTTAAAGTAGGAATAAAATGAGGGGGGAAAAGCCTGGAACTACAGAAATCGAAAAGTGTACTATGTACAGAGTGAAAACTACATTTCCCTGAAGGGTGTTTCTAATATCTTTTTTGCTGACTTGAGTCACACAGTAAAAACCAAAACACAGAAATGGTATCATCAAGGTGGCTTTTGCTGTGCTACAGTAAATGACAATAATTCTTTTATTCTCTTTACAGTGGCTTCAGCTGACGATGTACTCATAGATCATGTCCATGTCAGTTGGCGACTCATCACGTGAGATTGGAATAAACTTCACCACGACATAACTCGTCATTGCTCCAATTTCCTCTAGATTCAGATTTAATGGTCAGGTTTATTCCTGTAATCTTTTAAATATTAAAACAGATAAGAAGTAGGTTTTCTGAGCTCTGATAACCAGGTTACACCAGAAGTTAATGTGAAATGTAAACAGACACGCACAGATGCAGAATTTCCCTTTGTTGTTAAGTCGTAAAGAATATGTGGCTATCAATGCTTTTATTTTAAAGTGGAAGCAAACACTGTGATTATTTGTTGTAATTTTATTGATGTACACATACAGTAGGTATTAAACAAAATAAAATACATACTGTACTAAAATTAAGGCGTGACTTTTATTATACAAGATTGCTGGAGAGTCTTTGGACAGCCTGGTTTCAAATATGTGATGTAGAACAAAGTTAATCAGGGAAACAGAACATTTCCAAGAGTTACAGTCAGAAATGTGAAAATGACCAAAAGTCAGCTAACAAAATAAAGGAATAATAAGCAGGAGAATTGAGGCTTTACATGAATAAAATCATGGCGGTTCAGCTATGTGTCAAAGAAATACAGTATCTCTGCTTCTGCTGCATCATCTTTGATCTCTCCCGTCTGTCTGGGGAGTCGAGGAGTCTCCTAGAAAACTCATGGGTATCATACGGAATCTCAATTCTGCCACTGGAAAAATATAAATAAATAAGTTTTTAAAAATCGCCAGACAAAGTTGAAACTTTGAGTTGCGCATCTCAAAATTTTGGCTTACTAAATACCCCAAAATTTTAAGGTGCTTCTGAGTAAGTTGAAATTTCAAGATATACAACTTGAAATGTTGATTTATGGAGAGCAAACTTTTTTTTTTTCACGAGCTTCCATAACATCATCAGCTGGTGGAGTTCACCGTACAGTCTACTTCACAGTTATTCTGACACGTTTCAATTTGCTGCATGTTTATTAGCTTCACATACAAATGAATGGTATTCATGACAGCTCGACGTCTTCACAGGAATAAAAGGAAAAAAAAAAAGAAGCAGGAAACAATTTTAATTAACAAATAAATCCAAATTACAAAGTATGAAATGATCTAATGGATTAGTGGCACTTCAAGAAAATACCAGTTATAAACGTCCAAGGAAAAGAAGTTCAATTTTGTGGGATTAAAGTGGTAAATATAGGAGAAAAATGCAGAATATTTTAAGAGGAAAAAAGCCGAATATTATTATTAACTCACAAAGCGGTGAGAAAATACAAATCGCCTGAGATTAATTGACACATTTATGAGAGGAAGAAACAAAGCAAGTGGATTAACTCTGCATAGATATGCTGATCAGGTTCATGCATGAGTTATCGCATTATGCTTTATTTTATAACCATCAGTAGCACACTAGTGATTTTTAGCACTGTGTGTTTACAGGAGAAAGCAACAGAGTGATTTAGATGATTTAGAAGCTCATGTTTTCCAGCTCAAGCTATCACCCGCTGCTCATTCTCACTGAAACACAATCTGTGTCGTGTATTTCTCTCAATTTTCTAACTTTAATCTCAGAGAATTTCTGAATTTTACTTGCAGTTTGATGACTTTGAAATCTCAGAATACCACCAAAATGACTAGCTGGAAACAAAAACGTGAGAGCGTGTGAGACTCCACCCTGGCTTGCTGCATCACTTTACCACCATTCCCATCAGGGCTGCACGTTACTGTCGTTCTCCACGTGAGTCTGCATGTGTTCAGAAAGCTCCTGCGGCAAAATGCAAACAAAGCTGACAAACTGGTCTCTCTGAATGAACCACAAGAAGAAAACACATAGCCTAGCTAATGAGGTACGCTAACAAACTGTTCACTACCTGTCTGACTGAATGCTGCGTGGCAAAAAAAGTGTCGCAGCCTCTCCAGCGACACTTGACCGTCTGCAGATTTTGGTTGCTGTGATCTTTAGTAAGGTGCTGTAGCAAGTGATCCTGCATGCCAAAGATCAGAGAGCAATTCTGCCACTGGAAAGAGAGCAAATACAAGAAAAAATCTTCAAGAAAAAGACACTGTGTGAACGTGGAGGAGTCACTGTTCCAGTTTATAACATCAGGTTCTTACCCAGCAGCGGTAGTTTTTCATCAAGTTGAGCTTTACAGCTTGAACGCTGCCATCGTAACAGCCTGTGTAGATCTGCGTGTGGAGCAATCGACCACAGAGACACAAGTCGGCAGTGTTTATTCATCCCTTCCTGTATGAACCGCTGCCATGCAAGTTTATATTTAAAAAGCAAAAAAATACAGCTGGACCGGTTTTAATTGCACTTACCACACTTTTATGTATAGCCATGCACATCACCATGTCACTGTGACCGCCATATACCTGCAGCCGGTCGTGAGACTAAACAAAAAGCAAAACACACACACACACACACACACGACAACAGATAACTGTAACTAAAAACAGATTACAAAGGTTTTTATAAAAAAAAATTATTTTTTTTTTTAAATACCTAAAAAGGTGGAAGGAAAAAAAAATCAAAGTTCCTCAAATTGTGTAGTTACATGCACAGGGACAAATATGTAGCATCAACCAAAGCAGCACAGCATTTAAAGTCTAAATGGATTTGTAACGGTCATTTACAAAAGAAAAAAAATAGTAACCTAATCATCCATTCAAAAACGACTTTGTTGCGTTCTTTTCTGTTCTATTTTGGAAGAAAATAGAGTCATAATACCTGTAGCTCATAAACTCGAACCAGTTTATCCAAACAGGCTGTTACCATCACTTTCCCCAAGATGACAATTGATGTGACAGCATGACCGTGACCCTTGTAGATGCGAACCAACTCGCCCGTCTGCAGACAGGAAAACATGGCAACAAAACTAAACGATAACAAGCATGCATCACTTACCAAAAGCACAAGGCTCGCACACATTACTAAAGTTACACTACAAATACCGGCAGCCAACAGTAATAGCCCTCAGCTTCTTAGTAGAAGCACCTATGTTATAAATCCAAAAATCCTCAGTGATTTTCACAAAAGTTGGCCTCTGACCTTGAGATCAAGGTTACCAGGATTAGAAGTCGTCAGACACTTTTAGTAGTGCCTCTACGGTAGCAGTTCAAAAATCTTCAGTGACATCTTTCTCGATTTATTCTGTTCACGTTTAAAAAAAATATACCTCTGACCTTGATCTTGAGGTCGAGCTCCCTGAGATTCAAATTCTTTTGAGATTTTTAGTAGATGCACCAATTGTGCTAATTTCAAAATCCTTCACCAGCTTGTTCTTGAGTTATTGCATTTTCAAACTTGAGTTTTTATGCGGCTGCCGGATGAAAATGAGCCTTTTATGGTTGACTGGTAACCAGGCTTTAAAAAAAAAAAAAAAATCAACATTTTATGACTAAAAACACCCAAACTAAAAAACTAAAACAAAAAGAAAACATTAAAACAGAATTCAACTTTTTTAAAATAACACTAATAACTCTGAAAATTCCCACTAGCATAATTTCATTGATCTTTTTTAAGTAAGTCAAGTCACTTACATGGATGTTGTGGGCATGTACAGATGTGTCACTGGAACCACTGAAAACCAGGTCATTCACTACCTGACAACAACAACAACAACAACAACAACAACCAAAGTCAACAAGATGCAAGAACTGCTGCGTGCAGGTAATAAACCAAACACCAGCCAACCATTTCCTCCCACACATACAGAAAACAAAACATTTTCACTGTTGTCATTTTATGACTATCAAGTTTTACCACATGCTGAATGTTGACTCTGATGTCAATACAGACTTGATGTTGATTATGAAAACTTTAATAACCATTTTCAGCAAAATAGACTGTTAAAGGATGTAGAATTTCCCCACCTTCATACAAAGTACAGTCTTGGTGTGACCTTCCAGTGACCGCAGCAGCAGGCCGCTCTTGGCATCGCGCACGCTGATAGTGCTGTCATACGATCCGACCAGAAGCAGCCGGCGAGCGCCCTCCTGAGCTGTGCCCAGGCAGCTCACGCCTCGTGGGCCGTGGCACTCGAACACATCCAGCTGTTTCAGAGTCTAAAAAGATCAAAGTTGTTGGAAAGAAGAGAAGGGATTTTTTTTTTTTTTAATGAACACTATGGCATGTAATTATCCAATTTCACTGACCTTTACATCATAGCTAGCAACTGATCCGCTGGCAGTCCCAGCATACAGAATATTCCAGGCTATGTGCAAATACAGCACTCTGTCAGGAAGGGCAAGCTGCTCCAGACACTTCTTAGACTGCAGAAAACAGTCGATTATAAGACAAAATCAATAAATGCTCAATAAAACACGTTTACTTCAAAAAACACATTCTGACTGAGTTTCACACTAAAATCCAGCCAGTGAGCAACTTTGTGACAGCAGCACTTTATTACTTCCAAAAACACGTCCAACACCAACCACATTAAGTCCTATCAAGACATTATATACCTTTATGCTGTAACAGCGGATAGTTTGATCGCTGGATCCTGTGTAGAGGCGTGTCGGCATATTTGGGATGGATGACACCAGTAGACAGTTGATTTTATTTGTGTGACCGTCAAATATTGTTAAGCACTCCTTGGTCTGGATACATAAGACAAAATATAGATGTTAATAATAGAGGAAAGAGACATACATTTCTTTAAAGACAAAACAGTGACATTCAGTCGCTTTTGTCTGATTAAAATCCCTCTCAAAGAGGGTGCTGTACCAAAAACCTCATTGTGATCGATTTGGTCGCTAGCAGATGGCCCTCAGTTTCCATCCATTTGCATGAAAAATGCTTGTCTGCAAACACTGGCCAACTAACCACAGAGTGGCAGTAAAACTTGTAAAAGTGCAATGCAGATCAGAAACAGAGCACATTTACCTTCCAAAGAAAGGTGTGGCTTGGACCTGAAACCACCACATTAAATGACACAACTGCAAGTTTACGACCAATTTCTCCAGTCAACTGCCAGCAACCTCTTATTCACATTTACAATCTGCTATGCTGTCCATAGTCAGGGCTAAAGTGGACCAGAAAGGTTTGGAAAGACGGCATTCAGCTAATGAGCAACTAAATCTGGCAGTCAGGTTAGTGCATATTGATATGAGTTCACACGCTGCAGCCTGGCGCTGCTTCTGGTGATGGCCTGGAGATACTTCAGTGATAAGAAAATAACGTCCCACGGCTCATTTACACCTTGAACACACCCTGTCTCACCCCTGTGATGCATTCATGGTGCACACGTAAAGCTGAGGTTGCTGTAGTTAAGCTTATAGCCGCCTACTAAAGAGGAGCATGTCTGCAAGGTTTCTGCACAGTTTCACAGGTGAGAACTGCAAGTGAAATTTTAGCAAATAGGAACTGGAAATTAGCCAAATATCTTACATAATATCTGCTTACATCTTACTGAATTCAGCTGGTACCGTTAGTAATTCTACACCCAGCGTGTATCAATGCCAAATCCCACTTTAACCCCTGCTCGTGGTTAACTGTCAGCTCATTTCATTAAAAACTGCACCAATGCCACAAAGATACTTGAGAAGTCCAGTTCAGAGACTCAAATTGAAAAAAAATGCACTAGAGATAAAACTGGACAAAATTTTGAAGTGCCAAGAACATACCACTAGACTGTAGGCCCGAGCCGTGTTGTCCCCCGAGCACGTGTACAGGACGCCATTGTGGACTTGAAGGCTGTTCACGGGGCCGCTGTGATTTAGAAACTCTCCCAAGGATGGCTCCTCATCATCAACGGATGCTGAAATAACAGCGACTAGGTTTATTTCTTTCTTTTTTTTTAAGAATCTAAAAAAAAATAATACATATTTGAAATTTTCGTGGTAAATTTTAGCTCAAAAAGGCAGTATGTTTTATCATTGCTGACAAACAGCAGAGATTACTCACCTGCAGGCGTGTTGGCATCTTTCCCTTCCAAAGCTGACGGCTTAATTTCACTGAAGGGATGAGAGAAATGGATCAGTTTTCCTGTAAAGTTCAGGATTGGAACCCTGAAACGATCCAAAGCGTGAACCTCACCTGTCGTCCTGACTTTGTTGAGACGTTTGTGTGCTTGCAGAGCTGAACTCAGCATTCACAGAGTGAGGCGGCTCCTGTGGCTGCGCCGGAACCTTTAAATCTTTTCCAAATGAGTCCTCACAGTCCGATTCATCGACGGCTATGACCTCCATGTTGGAGTGATCGATCATTTCAACAGAATCGTCGCTCTCGTTCCCCTTGTCATCTGCCACAGGTTGCCGTTTTTCTCTTTCGGGATTACCACCGGCTGGCTCTGGTTCTTTGGCCACCATCTTTGTCATTGCACAGTCCTGTAATCCCGCTCTTGTTTCTTGCTGCTGCTGTTGCTGCTGCTGCTGCTGCCTGGCAGATGATTCAAGAGAAAGAAGTATATTTGCAGATGTGGAGCACTCTGCGTTGGACTGATTGGCAGAGATGGCAGCAGCAGCAGTTAAGGGAGCTGCTAAGTGTGTTTGTGGGAGCAGCAGGGAGGGAAACAAAGATACGGGTTGGTTCAGAGGGACCTGAGCAGCATCGGTTTTACTGGGCACTGTTGTGGACAAGTGGCTGGCCTGTCCAACTGTGGACCGATGGCACATTTCTTGCTTCACTGTTAAAACGAGCGGAGCTGGAAGAGGTGGGGTGATAGATAATGCTGGAGCTGTGGAAGCCGATTGCTGAGTTGTTGAGGAGCCAGGTAACAGGCTCGAAGGAGGAATGGAGGGAGATCGAACACTGGCAGCTCCCGCTGATGACGATGTTCCTGAGTACCCTTCTGGAAGAGATTAAGAAAGACGAGAGAAAAGCATTTGTTGCCCACGGAACCATTCTGAGTTCAAGTTTTCACTGCCAGTGTACATGGTAAATGGCCTGTATTTATATAGCACTTTACTAGTCCCTAAGGACCTCAAAGCACTTTACATATCCAGTCATCCACCCATTCACGCACACATTCACACATCTACCGTACCTTGCATTCCCTGCAGGATCTCAATGCGCTTGGCTCTTAGGCTGTTGACCTCAGAAGTGAACTAAAACAGCAGAAAGACCCAAACTTATGAATGGCTCCTTTGAGGTCAAACATTTATTTATTGGACATTTCTTCATTACCTGCTGTCTCAGTAGCAAAAGTCTCTGGACTTCTGCATACGCAGTTTGCAGGGCATTACGGGCCTGGACCAGAGACTTGTCCAAATTCTGCAATGAGTGGCTCAACTCTTCCTCACGCAGTGACACCGCCAACAGCTGGTCCATTTGTTCCTGATCTGCAAGTGGAGGGAGAAAAAAAAAAGGGAATGACTGACGAATGTTTGACCCCCCCCCCTCAAAAAACTGCTACATTATCTTAAGCTGCCTCAGAATTTAAGCATAGTTTTAAGGATAAAAGACAGTTTATGAACGTTTGAAAGCAGATTGAGGTAGAAGGTTAACGTGATATTTAGAATCCCCATATATCATTCCCAATATGATGTCAATACAAACCATGGCAGTAAGAAACATCGTTTTAAATATAGCATGATTGTCACTTTGACCTTAAGCTCAATCAATTGGCCTTGACGGAGAGGTCAGAGGTCAAATGTGACAATGTTTGTTCCAGTTTCTTATATTTCATTGCATATAAAAAGGTTTGTTACCTAAAAAAAATCTTACTAATCATCAGAATCACCTTTGTTTGACTTTGTTTTCTTCTTTTTCCCACTTGGCTCCTCGTCAGAATGACCGTCAACCTGCAAAAACATATCAATTCCACCACTGAAATGCATCTGCAAACTGGATGTTTCAGAAATGCGTCACAGCATGCAGTACTAATCACCGTCACCGTGGTGTGTTTCCTCTTGCTGGCACTAGTGCTGCCCCTTAAATCTGAATTAAAATCCTCAAAGTTTGGCTCCACTTTCATCTGTATTTGTGCAGCTGTCTGGCTGCTGCCAGGATCCTGAGCTGCAGCCGGCTGCCCTGAAGCTTCCTGAACCTGAGAGTCTGACTGTGTCCCTGTGTCACGCTCAGTATCAGCAGTGTCTCGGAATGGAGGGGGTGCAGTCGAGTGTGGCACCGAAACAGAGTCTGGAAACGACTCCCAGTGGAAGCCTTCGGACAGCGGCAGGTCAAAGTCCTGCGGACGCACTGAGCTGCCTTGGTGAGTCGGACGATTCGACAACTCAATTCCAAACCTGAAAGTTTAAACAGTGACAACAAACAGCATAAAGAAATATCAACTCCAAACTGGGAAAGCACAAATACAACGAAACACCTTATTGGATGGCGATTTCCTCACCTCTGCGTGCCTTTTGCCTTCCTTTTCACCTCCTCATGCCCCGCTGTCCAGTTCTGATTACTCCTGGCCCCCGAAAAGCTAAGCAACGTGTTTGTAGTTGATTTACATCCAGCCTCCTTCTCCCCATGAGCTTGGCCTGCTTTGTGAGCAATTCGAACCTTAGGTTTGTTTGAGTCGGGCTCAGATGAAGCGGTCTTTTTAGTACATCTTTTAGGTGAAGTCAGGCCGTTGGTGGCCACCTGAGATGCATTATTCCCGTTGTTTGGCAGTCTGTCTGCACCTCCTGAGCTCTTTTCACGGTCCTGAGCTTTTTCAGTCAGAGCGGAGGTGCCTGCTGGCTGCTCTGCCTCAGTTCTGCTTTGTTGTGAGGTCACGGGATCAGCCACCTGGACGCCGGCCTCACTCTTCTGTCTCCGGGCTTCTCGGTCTGCTCTGCATGGCTCCCTCACACCCAGCGCTCTTCTGATTTGCTTCAGCATGGCAGTGACATCAACTTCTCGTATAGGAGCTGCGCTGTTGGCCGGTGCAGGTTGAGCTGAGCGGCGTACACTTTCCTGCCCTGTAGTCGCAGCTTGGCTCCGATCAAAGATGATGGCTCCATTATCAGGGAGCTGGTCGCTGGTGAAGACTGTGTTTGTTGCACCATTATACTTCCTGCTGCGATAGTTGTACTGGCTCACAGAAGGTCCTGCCATCTGGTGCCAGAGGTCGGTGGCACCCCCTTGAGTCTTGACGAATCTTTCCATTTGGGAGGTCACAAGTTTGACTCGGCAGGGCTGATTGTTGACAGACGCGTTATGCCAGCTTCGACCTTCGGGCTCTCCAGACATAGCAGCCAGTCTCCTGCTTTGACAATGAAGGCTTGATTCTGCATTGTGAGGAGGTCTTTGCTTACTGAATACTTTGTTCTCCTTGTTCTGGACGACACCATTGCTCCTGCCTTTGTGCTCATCATTCTGCCTTTGCTCCAGCTGCACCTGTTTTGACTGTCTATGCTTTTCCACTTTGGATGCACCAGTCTTTGTTTTGGTGGTTCCCTTTGACAAACGAGCACGCCTCTGACCAGCCACCTGCTTCAGTTTCTTTCTCTCTTTTTTTGTTACTTTCTTCCTACGACGGGAGAAAAAAAAAAGGCAGTTGTTTCCATCAACAACATATTATAACATGGAGAGATTCCAATCATTTTATTAAAAACAGGTGAAAAACTTACTTCTCTCTTTTCAGTGCCTTGTTTCTCTCCTTGATCCGGGTTATAGACTCTGTGCTGAGAGTCTTAAACAGAGACAGGGGCTTCACATTTTTGGACATCAAGCTCTTCAACTTGGCTTTGTGCTGAACGGTCGAGATGTGCTGGGCATACTCATTTAAACCCATGGAGGAAGCTTTGCATGCCTGACAGTCATGAAAGGAATCTCTGTTCAAGAAAGGGTACAACATATACTGTCAGAATTAAAAAATACGGTTATATGTCAGTGAAACTTTGTTATTTTCAATATTGTTCAAGGCTACTTGAAAAACTGCAAAAGGTTTTGGCTTCTCCGAGGCAGCGTATAAAGAAAAGAGAGGTGGTTCAAGACTCTTGCACTGCACTGTATGTCTGACTGAATGAAAAGTGTTTGTCATCAGCAGTGATAAACACACATTTCTCAAATTAGACACAGTACTCACTTGCCCAACGCTGACTCCAGCTCTCTGTGATGCAGCATGCTGTGCATATGCTCGTGTGCTTCCTGTAGTTAGAGACATATTATCAAGATTACAAATTATCTATAAAGAAACTGCAGGTTATTCATCTCTACTGAGAATACAGATGCTTCGGTGAATTAAGAGCCACTTACATGCCTCAAATACCAGCTGCGACACAAAATGCAGTAGCTGCTTTTAGACGTCTGGGAGGTTTGTGGAGGATTCTGCTCCACATGGGATTTGACCACCTTCTCGTGTGGCGTTTGGACGTTTGCCATTTCTGATGACGTGAGACTAGAACCCCAAACTGTTCAGTGTCTCAACATGTCATTGCTGATGGCAGCATTTATATTGAACCTGAGCAGTAGAAAAGAAGCACAGCCATTGAAACACATTGAAAATTAGCTCAACGTGGTCTTCAACTCAGAACTAGCCACTCGTTTGAAACGGTTTTAACACTTTTTTGAGCATTAACGACATTACGATTCGCCAAAGCCGCTGGGAAAAGTTTATCGCATCAAAGTGACGCCTATTTGGGTTCCACGCAACAAAATCTTAGCTGCAGATAATATTTACCTCGTAAATTTCACAAGGCAACAAGCATTCACTGCTCTAATGCCGCCATGTTTGCCTGCGTAAATCACGTCACGTCAAAGTCCACCAATCGCGTTCCGGAGACCGGAAGCTTGTGAGAGGAAAGGAGATGTCGTAGATCTACAAAAGGTAAGATGGGGCAAGTAGAAGGATTTCGAGCAATGTCCGCCGTTCAGGATGTTTTACAGCTCTGGTTGGGCTACAGAGACCGCCGTCCCGTGCGGAAGAGGCGGTTTTTCTACATATTTGTTAGCTGGGTGTTACTGTATGTGTGGCGTTTTTTCTTCTTTAATAATTATAATTATTTTACTTAGTTAAAAATTTATTCTGTTAAAATGTGCAACGGCTGTGTGCAGAAAGAGTATCCGGACCGGGTAAGTTGATGATACCGAGTGACTAAACTTAAAGTACCCCGTCCAGCTAATGCTACACTTAGCTATGAGTGACGTTTGCCTCACTTCCGTTTGGTAAACAATCCAAAACAAACAGTGATGCTCTGATAAAATACTTAAGAATCACGTTAAGGAGCCAAAATATGTTTGCAATGCTTTATTCCCCGCACAGGGTAACACTTGTCTGGAGAACGGCTCCTACTTGATGAACTACCTGGGCTGTGCCAACTGCCATCACAGGGACTTCGTGATGATCAGCAACAAGGCCACCGAGGACGATGATGGAGAAGAGATCGTCACATATGACCGTTAGTCTCTCCCAACAGTGCTCCAACTAGAAGAGAAAACCTGAAGATAATAGCAGTGCCACCAGATAAAAATGCACTTCAATGGGGCGGTAGTATGTGGCCCACACCCCACCTACTGTTATGTATTCCCAGGCAGTCTGTTTGGAGAAGGACCTGTATGGCTGCACTGACATCTTATAGAAAACTGTCCTTGCAATTTTTTATTTCCCTTTCCACGTAGTGGGTTCCATGGAAAATCCCATAACCTCTGGACGATACATAAGTGCTCTTGTAGATGGATAAGAGCCAAATTCCAAAAGCTTGTGGAAAGTCTTTAAAGACGACTCCTTACTCTCATGTACAGCTCTGTAACTGTATGCAATCTACTAGAGTAGCTTTGATTTCATTCACATTCATCTTAAGCTGGGCCTGGGTGCGCCCTCATCTACTGCATGAAATGAGTGGATGACACAAAACAGACTCCCTTTTTAGGCCAAGCTTCTTCTGATTGGGGATGTCTGAGGTGACCATATTATGGATATCCACTCTCACTGGCAACATACAGATCCAAGATTAGGGGGGAAAAAAGCCTGAAATGGAGGGTTTTCAGGCAGTCTGAAGCCTGAATTTTGGGCTAAAAGAGATTACTTGCATTTTTTTCTCAAGGCAAGGCAAGGCAAGTTTATTTGTATAGCACAATTCAACAACAAGGTGATTCAAAGTGCTTTACAGAGACATTAGAAACAAAAACAAATAAAAAGCATGATTTAAAATTGATTAAAACAAGCAAATAAACTAACTAACTAATTAACAAACAAACAAAACAGTATATAAAATCAAAACAGAAAATCAGAACAGTAGATAAAATCAGTAGTTAAATGTAAGTTTTGAAATTTAAGCTTAAATTAAAGAACTAAAGAAACGTGCAGTCAGGTGAGACTAAAGAAGTCACTTGGATGAGTGATGAAACGTTTCTCCCACCGAAAACATGACGTCCTTAATTTAGTTTTAATCTTAATTTAGAATTCAAAAGTATGTTAAGTATTTTAATTTAGATGTGTAAAATCAATCACGTAGCCTCGCAGTCTGCCTTTACAAACATTTGTGAGCGAATGGGTCGTTCTAAAGAGCTCACCGAATCAGAGCGTGGCACTGTAATAGGATGCAACAAGTTTCTTTCCTCCTTTCTTTTCCTCCTAGATATAGTGTTGTTATTATTATTATTAAATCAAAATGGTCACACACAGTAGTTTATAGTAAATCTGTCTTTTTTTTTTTTTTTTGCTGTTGTTTTATTTTACTTCCAGACTGTGGGAAAACCCATCCAGAAGCAAGTTTAAAAATAATGCCGTCATCTGTTTGTCTTTCCAGATGTTTGTAAAAACTGTGACCACGTCATCGCCAGGCACGAATACACATTCTCTGTTGTCGATGAATATCAGGCAAGTAGCGCTGTCGTCACCAAACCGGTCGAGATTCACACTGTGGATTCTGTTACTTTACGGGTCTTTTTCTGTGTTGTCCAGGAGTACACTATGCTCTGCATGCTGTGTGGAAAGGCGGAGGACTCCATCAGCGTTTTACCAGACGACCCCAGACAGTCTGCGCCGCTCTTCTAGACCTCAAAAGAAACCTGTGGTTTTTAGGTTTCGTGTGGTGCTGGCTTCTCATTTAGGGTTCCAACCATTTTTGTCATCCGCTCAAAGTTTTGTCCTTCTATAATTAAGCATGTCATTGGTGCAGTTCCTGGCTGTTTATGAACTACTGTATGCTAATTGGAGGAGAGCAGAATATATGTATGCATAACTTTTAAAGACCTTTCATTATGACATAAAACCTGTCAGCTTACCTTATATTGTAAATAAACATATTTTATACTATAAAGCTTTTTCTTACACTTTCCTGCATGTTGGATGATGCTATGAATCGAGAACACTTATTTTACTTTAAATCTAAAAAGAAAAGAAAAAAATTAGCATTTAAATGTTAAGACATTTTCACTAATGGAACTGTTGAAGTTGTACACTCGTGCCAGCAAATTTCCATTTTGGTTCACTTGAATTTATATTGCCACCTTTCATTTACCAAACAAACATGCAATCCACTAAAATATGGAGCCAACAAATACCCTACAATATTTGAGAGAAAATCCCAATAACCACACAATCCCCTAAGAGGAAACACTTGGCAACAGTGGAAAAGAAGAACTCTCTTTTAACAGGAAGAGACCAGAACCAGGCTTAGGGAGGGGTGGTTTTCTGCTATAAACAACTGGGGGAGATGAGGGAAAAGGAAAGAAAAGAACATAGAGAGATGACGATAAAACACAAACTGGGATACATCACATCATGGCACATCAATGGAATTGTAGTGTTCAGTGCATCACCGGAAGTCCTGTTGCAGCACAACTAAGTAGAGGGCTGTGATAGCTGAAGTCTCTGTCTTCCATTCTACTTTTAGGACAACAAGTAAGCCTCCACTCCAAGAGAAAAGTACTGTATTAAGCTGATAACGTGATCATCACAGTATTATGAACTACTGTATGCAGGTAATCAGGTCTCATCATATCTTAAAGACCACACAGTGTGATGTATAGTTAATCTACCTTTATCTAAATATTAGATGTTGTCTGACCTCACTTTTTCACTTGAGTGTGCTCAGTCGAGGTTCATCTGTGCATTCTTTCCCCCTTATCTGATAACTGGCTGATTCTAACAGAAACTGCAGAAATTCTGTTAATTATCAAGAAGCAGAGACGTAAAGGGGTGGAAAACCTTTTTTTGGGGAGTTGTCATTTGTTTACTTACTTATAATGTAAACTATATTAAAACTGTCTTTAAGATAAGCATGAAGCACAACAACAAGATACAATTTAAAACTCATGAGAAGGAATAGTCCAAGTCATTGCTGGTCTATGTCATGGATGTATTTTGATCAGAAGCAGCTCAATAAAAATGCAGATGCTTCAGCCGATTGTACAAATAAAAAAAACAAAAAAACAACCCAGAAATCATTTGCAATGACACTCATGCACGTTTACAATACTAAAGTATGAGTGCACTTAAACATGTACATTCTAATATGCTGATGCCTTCTGCATGTTAAATACTTTATAGCAAAGTAAGAGCACACTATTACACTCTGATATGCCAAAATGAGCAATTCATTGTTACATACTATAATTAATCTAGCAGTTTTACAGGAGTGAGGTCAATATGGGACTGCATGCCCTGCTTCTATACATGAATGCTGATGTCTGTGTGCTGCTTGTGGTGTTGTTTACTACTGTAGTGTTCTAAATGTGAGTACATGGTCTCTATTAGTGTATACCATTTTCCTAATGGTACATATCTACAATTAGCATTACTTTATTTTAGGTTTCTTTACATCCCTCAAGTATTAAACATAACCTTTTTGGTCTCATAGTAGGCCTATATGGAGTGTTAAGAGAGTGTAGTGATATGAGAGGTAAAAGTTGGCAATCTCAAGATTTTCTCACTATTTGTGTTTCTGCTGCAGGTATCAAGCCACCAAAGTCAAGTATTCTGAGAGACACATCCAAGGAATGAATGAATAAATAAATAAATACAATTTATCATACACTTTACATTACATACAGTACATTCCCTTGAGTAAATACCATATTTACACATGCTATCGGGGTGACTGGATGTGAGGCAGCCTCTCGCTACAAGTTGCACGATACGGATCAGTCATTTGTGTGGAAACACGGCCACATCAAGTCACTTTGCCGGAGCCTTTACCCTCGTAGATCGAACCCCTTCCTCTGGAGCCGTGGCTCCACTGACCCAGCCCGCCAGACCTGTCCGGAGGGTGAGCGTGCCGAGGAGGGGAGCCAGATAAGCTAGACGGAGAGCGGCTACGGCCCTGCAGTGCCCCGCCGTCGCGGAGCTCCCGGGACGGGGAGGAGCTGAGCGAACGCTGTAGGGAGGAAGATGAGCTGCGAGGGCAAGGAGGCGGGCTGAAGAGCATCCCGCTGCGGTCCTGCATCAGCTGGGTCAGGCTCGCCAGGAAGTCTGCGTCGCTGGTGCTGCTGGCACGCACCCTTAACCGCCGCCGTCTGCAAAAAAACCAAAAAAACCAAAAAACAAAACTAATTCTCAGCAGCTATTTGAATTACTGTGTATTAGTATTAGCTGCTATCATTAGGATTATTACATATTTATTTATCGTTCTAATTTATTATAGCAAAGAACCTACTTTTTATTATTCTGTTATTTTAATAGTATGATTGTTTATGTTTGTCTGTATACACAAAGTTCAGCAGTGCTTCCAGTTTCGTTGTATGCTTATCCTATTGGCAGTGTCCATCCTTTTGTTGTTGTTTGTTTTCAAACAGACTTAATATGACGGATGGATGCTTTGATTTTTGTGCAGTCAAAGAAAAAAAAGATTATTATTTGCCCTATTTTCACTTTTTTTAAAACTCAATGTTCCCAAACAGAATCATATAGTTGATTTTTTTAATGTAAGGCTGTAGTTTCATTTCTTTTGTCATTTTTGTTGACAACTCTGTTTTGTCTCTGCTGTGTTAAGATATACAGTTATGTATTGCCCAGATGTCCCAGTTTTACACTGGGAGTTGACTACTGCGTACATTCATGGATCTGTCCGAAGCCGGCAGCATGAAATTAGTCTCAAATCTCCACGTGCGCATGCATCGTAAAATCGTATGCATTTGTAAATTAATTTTATGTTTGGTCAAATTGCTTCATATTTGTGTGTGGATTAGAGCGGGCATTCATGAGTCCTCAAAAGTTACACACAAATCACATCAGACATTTGCACATTTTACTGCTTACTGGTTCAGAGTTTAGAGTTAACTGGTTAGCAGCAGCTGAACATTCAGAACAGGAATGAGTGGATTATTATTAGTAGTACATCAATTATAGATCATTTCACTTTCTTGGGCAGGTGAGAAAAAAAACTACTGGGAAACAATGATTGTATCACATTTCCCCAGTTTGGACCACATACCTGTTGTCTACACATGGGCGGATGGGCGGTTTCCCAGGAGGTGGCCGGGGCAGAAACCTGCTAGTGAGTTGCTCTGGCACAAACGTGGCACTCACAGGACGTGGGATTTTACTTTTACTGCATGATGACAAGGACAGCGAGAGAGGGTCTTCTCCTGCACAGTCGGATCTGGAGCCTCGGTCTGAGGAGAGCCTGTCTCTGGGCAGGGCGGAGGGGAGGTTGTCACAGGACAGAGATGGAGAGGGTGAGTGGGTGGGGGAGCCAGGGATGGGACTGCTCCAGCGGTTACGCTTCTCTATGTTCAAGTCCCTGCTCGGAGAGTCCAGGGGGTTGCTGGGATCTCGGACAGGGATTCGACTCAACCTTGGCGATGAGGGAGAGTCCCTTCGTTTGAGCAGAGCAGGAGGCGGCGAGGAGGACACGGTGACTGTGCTCTCCACAGCACCGCCCACGGTATCGGCTTGAGGCTGCTGATTCGGCTCCGATGAGCGATCGGGCAGACCAGAATCGCTCTCTGGGTCTCTGTCGTTGGCCAGATGAGCTGTGGGGCCTTTGGCAAGGCTTGGGACAGGAGCCAAGTCCAACTTCCCTTCCTCAGATTTACCACATGGTGCCTCTAGAGGTATTGCATCACTCCTCTCCTGTACAGGTGATTGTGGCGCACAGCTGGAGGACTGAAGGGAATTAGATGATTATTAGATGGGAATAACATTTAAGATTAAAGACAATAGCTAACTGATATAATATTAACCTTGCATGTAATAACTGGATATTTCTTTTCTGTTGTACACTGTTAAATTTTATTCTTAAAATTATCCATCCAACATTCAAATTGCATCTACATTTGCATAGCAACTGTGGAAACTCTTTGTGAAGTCAGCCTTAAGTTGAACCTGTTTAGTCGAATTCATCTCCCCTGTGTTGATCTCAGTTAATGTACAACAAGATTATTGTTATTCCTACCTGCTCCATCTGGGACCTTCCCATAATGACTGAAGGCATTTGTCCCAGCATGCCCGGCAGCCTTCTGTGTCCCAGTAACCACGTGCCAGGCATGGCCATCTGTGACAGCACAGGGCTGCTGGGCACACCGGTGGACTGGCCATCCTGCCGCTCGGACGAGTGGTTCTCCGTGTCAGCAGCAATGTGAGACCCGGGCTTGCCCTCGTGTGATGCTTCTGCTGCTGGCTTGCTTCCTCCAGATCCTTGCTCTAGCTCCAGCATCACCCACTCCTGAGAGTCTCCCTCTTGAGGCACAGGACTAAAGTTTACAGCAACAAAGCCGCTGCTTGCTGCAGCTTCCTCTGGGTCGGGGGTTGCTGTGCCAGAGCGCTCTTCATTGCAGGAAGACATCTGCTGCTCAGGGCCTTTTTCAGGAATTGACTTTTCTCCAACATGAGAAAGGACAGGCCGCTGTTTGCCCAGGCTGAAATGACACATTGTAAGCATTAAGGTAAGAATGCGTCTGCTTAAAGGCTGAAGCTTTTGTTTAATTGCAATTTTTAATTACTGACTAGGCCTCAAGGAATCGCTCAATGGTGGGCTTGGGTTCTGGTCCGAGCCTCTTTTCAAAAGCCAAGCTCTGGCTGTGTCTCATCCTCCGGAGCAACGGTGCAGCCCGTTCCAAAAACATTGTCTCTGAACGCACCCGTCTAGGTGAGCTCTGCATGGAGCCGGTGTTTGGACTTTGGTTTCCCTGGTTCTGACTGTGTTCATCCTCACTCACAACCTGGGGAAAAAAAGAAAGAGGAAGAAGGAGTTTCAGAAACTGTAGCAAGACACTTTAAAAAGAGGGGAAGGCAGCCCAAGTTGTTTCTTCTTTACCAATTCGTCAGGAAGACAGTGAGCAATTTCAACCAAAGTTTAGCAGAGGAAGATGTAGGAGCAGAGGTCAGAGAGAGCTTTTCTCATTAAAAAATAAATGTATTCTTAAATCATATTTATGGGAAACACTCTGTGATGATGTGTAATGACTGGGGGGCATGAGCAGCCAGCGTAGTGTTGCAAAATGATCCACCCGACAGCACAAAAGAGCAGCAGTACTGTATGAGTATTACATCCCGAGCTAAGAGCATCATACTTTACATTACGGTACATTCCACTGACCTTCCTGATCATTGGCTGAGCGTGTTTATGGTTTTTGTTACGGTCCATCTCTTCCCATACATCTGCACCAGGGGTGGTCGGCGTGGGGATCGGGGGGCAGTTGTCAGCGTCACTGAGGCGCTCCCCTTGCAGGACATCCTCAGTGTTCTCCCTCTGCAGCTCGCCTGGCAGCACTGAAGCATTGGCCATGCTGTGGAAGAGACCGGAAGGTCACCTTGCAACTCGTTCCCATAACATAATTTAGAGCAGTGATTTCTCAGGGATATCTGACTGTGCAGATTTCGAGTCTAAAAAAAGCTGCAGCTATATAACTGAGCGCATACCCAACCAAGTGTGAAGGAAGTGTGAGTTAAACGATGGACCTACGGCATTTCAAACACGTACCCTAAGTATGCTGGCGTGAGGCGGGTGAGCTGCTGAGCAGTGGTTGCTGCGGCAGTGATGGTCAGCATATCCTCTGAATCACATTTCTCCCAGTCATAGGGGTCATTCTCCAGCACGTTGTGGCTCTTCATGGCATTCTCGAACACAGACATCAGGAGCTGTCACGGAGAATAAAAAGAAAACACATGCATCAGCATTTTACAGTTGCAGAAGAAAAAACAGCACATGCAAAATAAGCCAAACAAGGGAGTGAATGCCAACCTGATAGTCAGGCTTAGTGTAATAGTCCAAGGTCATGATGTGCTCCAAGAAGGTACTAAACTCTGAGGGAAGGTGCTTCAGCATGAGTCGATGATCGTATGTCTCTTTTAGATTTCCTACTTGCTCCTGGGAAGACAGGAGGGAAAAGAGTGAGAGGATGACCTTACAGTGTATTGCTAAAATGTAGTAATGAACTCACTGAGGCACATACTTTGTCCTTAATTTTTCTCCAGGGAAGCTGACCAACCATAAATTCTACCAGCATGTAGAAGAGCGACCACAGGTCATCGTGACGACCCATTTCCTGCAAATTTGGACACAAGAAAAAGGGGCACGGGGGTTAAAGGGTAAAATTGGACCTAATGCCAGCAGGGATTTTGACTTTCCTGCCATGTCTATGACAAACACATATGCTCCCAAAACTAGACGTATATACTCAGGAATAGTGTTTCCTCACTGCCACTGTGATGTCACCATATGATTAGTGAAGTTCTGTTATGAAGCCCCAATTTGAGCAATTTTCACCATATTCACCTACTGGATTCTAAAAACTGGATCTGAGACATGATTTGAGCATATTCCAGACAACCCTCTTTTCTGACTCTTAGACTGACAAACTTCATGTTTTATTCATTATGATCTGAAACCAGCCACTGGGTCATTAACTCGTTAGGGAAGATAAGATGAGGTCACAGAGCGAAGGAGGCAAGGTCTGTTTTCCCATAGACTTCTATACAACCCAAACTCTATTTTGTAACAACAGGAGTCGCCCCCTGCTGGCCATTAAAGAGAAGCTAAGTTTAAGGCACTTCACTTTTCAGACTCAGGGGCTACATCCAACTTCCATATAATCGATGTGCTCAATACATCTACAGTGCAAGCTCACCTTATTCTTGTGAGCATTGATTGAAGCGTATCGCACAGTTCCTCTGAAGCCTGCCACGGGACGAGGCTGAAAGAAAAGAGATATTTGGCAGAGTGATAGTGATAAACGGGTGTAAATGTAAAGCAAGCACAAAGCTAAAACCACATTTAAAACTCATAAGTAACACACTTTAGCTCTGAGTGTGGAGTCCCAGGCTCACGTCACATGATGACATGCTGAGTTAAAGCAGCAGTTGTGTGTGAACTCTAATGTATACCTCTGACTCTGTAATCCCTGGATTACACCTGGATCACGCTCTGGTGCTCTAGAGCAATATTTTTTTGTTTAACATCAAGTTAGGATTTTAAACTGCACAACATTACACAGGGAGTCTACGTGTGTACATACATACTGGCACTTTTATATACAGAACATGGGTGATGCATTTCTAACTTCTTTTTGATTTATTTTGGGCACTATTTAAAATCAATTTCCAAAAAAAAAAAAATTTAACAGCTGGCAGACTATGCTATAAAACCATTTCTCAGCATATAATTTTATGTATACAAGTACCTTTATGATTAAAAGCCCAACTATGCTCTAGTATAATCGGCACAGAGTACTTACTGGACGGACTTCCTGGCTGGAGTTGGTGAACTGACGGGCCAAACCAAAATCGAGCATGTAGCAGCACCTGCAGGTGCTGGCTAGTCTTCCCATCGCAAAGTTTGACTACAATTTTAACAGAAACAAACAAGTTTAAAAGTTTCTTTTTGTGATATTCAAATAAAACAAGATCTAACCCAACGGTCGACTTACTGGTTTAATGTCACGGTGCAGGAAGCCGACAGAATGGATGCTTTCAATGGCCTCTAAAATCTGCTTGCCAAGTCTTAAAGTTGTGGAGACAGAAAAGGTGCCGCGGGTCATCGTTCTGCGCAAATCTGCAAGGTTCCTTCCCTTCAGAGAGAAAGTCAACACCGTCAAATTCAAGAAGTAGAACAGATTAAATAAACTACTGCTGATTTGCAAGGCTCTTACCTGGAGTTCCATCACCACATAGTTGAAGCGATCATTCCTACCACAGCCCACAAAGCGACACACGTGGTCCTTGCCTGTGAAAGAAAGATTTATACAGTTTGAGCTTTGCCCATCTTCATGTTCAAACCCCTATTTGGTGTTGAAAAACTACCATCAGGATTTACTAATAAGGTTCAGAGTCAGTGCTACTTTTGCTCCAGAAAATTTGGGGGGCAGAGAACAGAGATGGGCAGTAACGCCTTACTGTAATCCGATTACTTTTTTCAAGTAACGAGTAAAGTAAGGGATTACTATTGCAAACACGGTAATTAGATTACGTTACTTTCCCGTAAGGACGCTGCGTTACTAAAACCGTGATTTTTTTGCGAGAATGTCTCATGACAGTGACGTAAGCGAGTGCGACGTTCGTGACAACAGCTGTGTGCAGATCAACAATGGATAATATATCGAGTGGGGAGAGAGAATGAGCATGCAGCGTTTAAAGCGTGGAAGTACTGACCTTACTTTGAGTTTGATTCCATAAAAAGTGACAAAAACATTAGCGTGCGTGGGAAGAAAACTTCTTTTTACAGCAAAAAAACCCCCCTTAAACTTCCGAGCAAGCACCAAGTGCACTACCACGTAATGGGAAACTAACCGCTGCGGCACACCTGCACCAGGGCAAACATCTGCCTACCCCACTCCTGCTTTACAGGTGAAAATAGAGCAACAGGACCGCTAGTGTTTGATTTTATTTCTTTTCTGCTGTGTTTTACTTGCATCTATTTGAAAGACTGAGTGTAAACACACAAAAAAAAAATATTTTACTGGAATGTGCAGAAAAAAAGTTTAAATGTTAAACAAATTTCTTCCAGTCAGAGAATGTTGCATATAATTACGTTTTTGATTGATGCATAAAGATTAAAACTAATATAACAAGTTTTAAAAAGAGATTTGATTACATTTTGTATGATGGATTATGCAGAAAAAGTAGAATTGGGCTGTAAGATCTATTGCTTTATCACCTATTCAGGTTGTAAATCGTGTTTTTAAAAAAGTAACTAAGTAACTAATTACTTTTGAAAGTAAGTAATCAGTAAAGTAACAGGATTACTTTTGGGGGGAAGTAATCAGTAATTAGTTACTGATTACTTTTTTCAAGTAACTTGACCAACACTGGCAGAGAGTAATTTAAGCTATTAATGCGATTTATGGCTGGAAAGTTACTGCAAATTGTGCTAAATTTAACACAGAAAAAAGCGTGTTTTATACCATGTCTGTGATTGTGATTGTTGCTTCTGCGAATCTGAATTTATTCGAATGACAGGGAATGTGTTACGAGAACAAGCGCACACCTAGCAAGGGTGGATGACTCAAATCTGTGTGTGCCTTGCAGCTCTTTACCTAGTCTCACGCTGAACATGTTTAGAGCATAGCCCATCAAAGGATTAGATCCCTATACAAGATATACAGTGCTGTGCAAAAGTCTTGAGCCACCACTCATTTCTTTATTATTTGCTTCAAATGAGTCAGGCTTTCTTGTATTTTTTAGAGCAATAGTTCTCCAGGATTTTTGAAGTTCTTTCAAAACTCATCTTTGGACATTGGTTGCTTTTCCACTCATTTTCCGTCTAGACTTTTTCCGGCCCATTATCAAAGGAATGATTTTTATTTTTGTTTGCATATAAAAAAGCACCTAACTCGATGAACCAGAGCTGACATAACAGAAAAGTCAGCAAAGAACCAGTTCTTAAAATGCATCTTTAGGCATTTTGATACTAGCAGCCTTTTGCAAAAAACATGACTCATTCCAATGTTTTTAGCTGACTCAAGGAAAAACGTCAAAGATAACACAGTTTGATAAACATCAACACGGTGATTCCCAAAGAACTATTAGCTGATAATTTGGCACATTTGCATGGTGTTAAGCGTGTCCTTAGAAAAATCTAAGGAAACTGGACAAGTGGAGAACAAAAGAAGGCAGGCTAAAAAGAAATACCAGCCCAAATCAACACGTCTGGTAACTGGTCTTATGGAGTGATTAATCCAATTATCATCAATATATATAGAGAAGATCAGGAAAGAGGTTATGATCCATCATCTGGGAAGTATTTGATTGGCAATGACTTTATTTGTTACCACGACAATGATGTCAAACACACTGCCATTGCAGTGAAAGCATACTTTTATAAAAATATATGGTATATATTTTTATAAAAGCAAATAAATATATATAGTATATAAAATATATATACACATTTCTTTCAGTAATACATATTTTCCAGCACCGATTATTTGTAATAATAATTGTAATGTACAAAAGCCAATGTACAAAACAAGAATTTGCTCTTCTTCTTTTTGTATAGTTTGCATTTCTATTACATATTCTATTTTGCACAAGGGGAAAAGAAGAATTATCTCAGCTTTGTATCACACCCTTTATAAAGACTGCAAAAACGACAGGAGACCACAGAAAAAAAGCCAGTGCCATTTCTGAATGTCATGTCATTTACCAATGAACCAACTGCAGTCAACCAGGCAAATATCGATGAAGTGGTACATTCCTAGACATTTCCTTAGAGATAATACACAAGTCATCCATTACTTTCCTGTTTGAACAAGCTACAAAGCATGATTCTGATACACCACATTTTTTGCAGTGTTGTGTGCTCTAGATGACCCACATTTACATGAAATAACAACTTTAATTGAATTAAAGAAATTCTATTTTTAAGAAGAAATGGTAGAAAAGGCATTTTACATACCATTTTTTCCCCCAAACAGGGTTTTTCAAACTGAGCCTGTGGGGAGTGACTTTGCACTTAATCTTGAATGGTCTACATTTAGTTAAGACAAAGAGTCTGCGTTACCTGACAACAAAAGACTGCATCTCCCTGTCGTTTTTTTGTCATTTCATGAACACAAATGTAGTCTAACCCGGAATAAATTCACCTCCACAAACAAATATGCCTCAAAAATTGCAGTCCTAGTGAATTTCCTTTGTTTCTTTATGTTTTGGTGGAAGCCCAAAAACTCTCTGATGGGTGCCAAATGCATTTAAGCGCAGAAAACACCCTGCCCAAGAATTACTTCAGCTACGCTGCCAGTGATTTGGCACAGTATAACTCACCTTGAAGCTTCTTCAGCACAGCCACTTCCATCTTCAGCACTTGCTTGGGCTGCTGAGCAGACTCAACCTTCAATGCCACTGTGGCCTGGCTCAGCTGATCCAGAACCTCATAGATTTCCCCAAACCCACCTCCACCTATCTTCCTGGCCTGAAAAGGAAGGCAAGTCTCATTGTCGGAACAAGTGTATTATAGTGAAGAAATGAACCAGCGTGATTTTTCTTCCTTCTAAAGTGGGACTTACCACTTTCCATCTGTCTCTGACCACGTCTCCCACCGACAGGATGTCTGTGTGCTCTCCAGCCCCACTCATCCTGAGTGCTCTCAGCTACAGCCTACAGCTAGCATCAGTGTCGCAAGCACTTCACTGCAAAGAGGGGACAGCTTTTAGAGACCAGGTCAGTTTCCTCTTTCAAAACACTGCAAACTTCGTGATGCTGAATCCACAGAACATACAGGTCATCTTACTGTGCTCTGACGGGAGCATGTGGCTCATATGTGAAGGTTAGCTCACGTCTCTCAAAGGAGCATTTAAAACCCAAACCTTCTCTAGCTGATTTTTTTTAAAGACAGAACCTACTATAGTGTAGTTAGTTGGAATCACAGCTAAAGCATAACACAGATAGCACAGAATATTCAGTTGACGTTAGATAAGATAAGCCATTTAGAAGGTACCCTCGCCAGCACACAGTGTTCACTGCAGTGGTCCTGTAAACAAGCTAACTAGCACATTTACCAATGGATAACGGTTAGGTAGCAAGCCTCTCTCACCTCGCTCCTGTGCGCTATCGCGATTTCGGCTAGAGTGTAAAATCCAAGCGGTCCCCATGCTCCCGGCGTACTCCGAGCTATGCGAGCGGTTCCAATGAGTTGTTTATTTCAGAAATGAGACAATGGTGATGGACCATAGCTGACGTTAGCCGCAGTTAGCCAGCTAGCCTGCTGCTGATGCCCCGAACGCTCTCTCTCAGTAGCGGTGACGTCAGAGAACTCGAGTCCACTGATTGCTCCACAAAGTCCCGCATCCGCGAGACGCTGACGGAGACCGCTCCAGAGGAAAGGAGTCTTAGTGCTGAATACAGCGGCTGAGAAACGAAGTGGGAGCCGCAGCTTTGTGCCCTTGAAAAAAATACAGATAAGCCTTCACTTCGCGACACACACTGTCTCCAGGGACGATTACGTTTCTTTCTTTACAAAATAAAAATTAAAAGAAATATGGCAACATGAGGGCCCAAAAGCCAATCGGGCCGCGAAAAATGCCAAAGTATTACTTTAAGTGGAATTCAGATATACTTTATCCCAAAGTCCTGACATTCATTTGTTATGAGCAAGATAGTGGTGAGGTATGCACAGGAGTGGCAGAAGGAAGAGATGGGCGGGCCGATCGAAATATCGATAGCATCGATACCAATGCTGATATCACTATCAGATCGATACTGGGTTGATAGGATCGATACTTTGTTTCTAGCCTCAGTTCAGTGTATGTTGCCATGGAAAGTAAAACATCACAGTGTTTTAGTGGTCATTTCATAAGTGATGACACACTGCTCTCCCCTATATTGTCTGCCTTTGGTATATTAAAAGTGTCAGTATCAGTATTGGTATAACCCTGTATTTACTTATTATTGGCTCTATACCAACATTTGCTGTATTGCACAGCACCAGAAGGGTTCAACCTGGGCATGGGATTACATCAGGGATGGTCCTGAGCCTTTCTTCTTTGCTATTGTGATGAAGAGGTTAAAGGACAATGTCAGGCTGGAGTTTCCATGGATTGTGATGATTGCAGACCACATTGTCAACTATGGTGAGATTAGGAAGCAGATGGAGGAGAGTGTAAGGAGGCGGCGGTAGTCTCAACATGCACAGAGCAGGGATGGTGGAATGTTGAAGATGAAGCTAACAGGCAGGAGGAAAGGCGGAAGGCCACTAAGGCGGTTCATGGAAGCAATGAAGGAAGACATGCAGAGATTGCAGCTTAAATCTACTGTTCTGTGCAAATGTTGTGATAATGCATCATTTATTAGCTTATTTATTCTAAGCATTTATGATCTAAATCAACAAAACAATGTCAACCTGAAGTGGAGAACAAAGTCCAGCATTTGTCTCCAAAATACTCCAAAAGGGGTAAAAACACAGACTGTGAGGGACTCAGCTGGTTAGGCATGAGGGTAAAGTAACTACAACACAAAACCAGACTGAAAATATAACTGAGCTATCAGACACAAAAGAAAAGGGAACTTAAATACTGGCTGATCACACCAAAGACGCCCAACGGGGGAACTACAACAAAGAAGTTATCTTATAAGAAGTAAATAAAACAGCAACTAGTTTGTCAGTTAGTTTAACTTATCAATAATCTAATGCAAAAAACAAAAACAACTGAATACCAAACTCAAATGTCACGTAAACATTTCTTGGCCTCCCCTGCGATGACGTGACACTTGGTACATTCCAGTTCCTGCATTTGAAAGAGGTGCATTTTGAAGGCCCATCTTTTCCTCATTTGGGTAGATCTCAGCAGCCAAGTGACCACATTTGTGTGTCTAATATTAAACTTGACTATTATTTTATTTTTGTGTTCTCTTCTATGAATTTAGTTGATATTTGTATTATGTTTACGTCTTTGTGATTGCTGACTGTATGTGCATGCGATAATACAGGGCCCCACTAACAATGGGGATACAAAAACAAAGATAAAGAGCTGAACATGCAAAAGTTGACTATACATGTGTGCTACAAACAGAGGCATGTGTGTTTGAAACACATGCAAAATAAACACAAATCTGTTTCATGAAATCATGATGTGTTCTCATTTATGTGTTTAAATGCAATGAGTATCAAAAACTAAGATAAATAAAGTGTGTTGCATGAGGTCAACAACTGATTATAAAAGTTGTCATCATTATTTGGAATTTCTAGCAGTGGCAGCCCCTCTAAAAATAAAAAAGAACTCTAAGTATACTTGACTTCTCGGATTTCTGACCTTAGCAAACATTTTATTGATGAGTTCTGTTTTACTTGTGAGTCTAAAGTCACGATGATGTCAATATTTAGAATAATGTTGCTATTAAATATAGAGAAGCAAGAAAACATTTACTGCAAGTCGGCTACTATATGAGCATGCAGTGGCTTTAGATTTTCAATCAGAGCCACCTGTCGCTCCTCAAGTTTGTTTTAACAAAAACAAGCAGGTGAAGAACAAAATGTTTGAGTCAAAGCCCCAGAGCCCCGTTCCACATAAACTATATGGGCAAAAGCACTGGGCCGCTTACACATTGCACCTCCAGAAGCTGCTCAGTTGTGGAAACCCCTGCCACAAAGCTCCTAGTGCACAGCTTTTGTCTTGATGCTAATGCCAGAGGAGGTTTGGGGCTCTGTATTTATATTTAATTTATTTTATTTAACCAACAGAGACACACTCTCAGTTCAATCCCTGGCTTACCCAGTCTGTATGTCTAAGTATCCTTGGGCAAGAGACTGAACTCTCCCGATGCATCCCTTGTAATATGAGTGAGTCTGTGGGAATGTGAGGAAGAACTTAAGGCTTAAAGGGGAAAAAAAAGACCTTGCATAAATGTGCACGCGACTGGGTGAACAATAATATTAAGTACAGTCCATTAAACAACCCATTTAAATAGAGAAGATGAAAACTATCTGTCATTGACTTTTCTTCCACCATTCTGATGCGCTGTTTAAATTCAGTAGGTCATGTTGACAATGTTTGCATGCCAAAATGTAGCTGAGCAGGTGTACCACCAAAGTGGCTGGTGGGTGTAGGTGGGTCTTCTGCATGTGAAAAATGAGGCACAAAAGGGTTTGTGCATGCACCCCAGATAATCAGTGTGGTGCCTGCTCGTAAATAACACTGTGGACAGATGCAGATGACGGGAAATGTATTCGTCTCTGGCAGGAAACAGAGAAGCTGCTTAAAATAGGTTTCTTGTTAAAAACATAAACATGGATGAAATGATAAAAGTGAGTAGCTGGGCTTTAAATAACGCGTAATAAGCCCGCTTTAATGAATAAAACGATGAATAAATTCTAATAGAAGAGCTGGGGTTTGTTGAACCAGATGAATTATCCAAACGTAAACCCGGTTGGAGGCCTGATTTTAACCAACAACAAACTGCGTCCGTGTGACGAGCCTCCGATTTCCGGGGAAGCCGCCACTGAGAAACAAACGCACACGGATACGGCGATGGGAGTGGCCAAACAATCGGATTGGATAACAGGATGTGACTTGAGCTGTTTTGGGGTGAGGCGGTGCGTTTGGAGGTGCACAACTTTCTGCGTGTTTTGCGCAGTTTCGCAGCCTTTTTTTCTTTTTCCGCGCACCTCGGACAAACCGAAACGGCGGCTTTAAACACTCGGAGCTTTCCTCTCAGCGAAAGCGCACTGATCTGAGGAAGTGCCCGAGCGGGCCGCTGCACGTTCAGCGTCTCGCGTGTGGGTTTACTTACGTTGCGTGCAGGGGAGGAGGAGGGGAGGAGGAGGGGAGGAGGTGGAGGGGGGGAAAGTTGTGGACATGTTTTCCTGGAAGTGCACGGTTTTGCGGATACAGTGTGCAACATTGTAACTACGGCGTTACTGAGCCTGCCCCGGGCCCTGGCCGGACTTTGGAGCGTATTTCCGCGGGGCTGCTCGCTCGCCTGCTCGCCCGCCTGCTCGCCATATTGCGCGCTGTGAAACTCGAGGGAAAGTTGTCAAGAGTTATGACATTTGCTGCGCACGATCCCTTCATGGAGCTGCGCGCAGTTGATCGAAACCAAAGTGACTCCGTGGAGTTGGACACGGGCGACTCTTTGCACCATTGATAAGGTGATCACACGGTGTGTAAGTAATGCTTTTTAATCTGCTGGATTGCCTAAGAGCTCTTCGCTCCTCAGACGCTTCCTTATTGCTCTTTTTTTCTCCTCTCACACAAACATCACTGGCTATCGCTCGGGTGATTGCACGAGCCCCTTCGTTTCCTGTATTTCTTGTTGTGCCAAATGGCAGCTACACTGTAAGCGCCGCCGTGTTGCGGTCTGTCTGTCCCTTCGAAACTTGCAATGCCCTATCTGCGCGCACTCTTTCTCTCTGCTCAATCTGCGTGCAATCCTGTATATTTTCACTTTACTCTAACGGGGCTATCTGCTGGTGTAGGCCTCAATTTCCTCATTGCCAAAGACGACTGAGAGTCGAGTGAAAACTCTGTGTCTTCTAAGAAAACAAAAGTGTCTGACTTCTTCTTTCTATCGTAAGGTCTTGCACCCCCTAAAGAGGATGGACAGCGAGCCTCAGATTTGATTCTTGAAGGAGGACTGCGTGTTCTCCACCCTGTGCTTTCCTTTGGGATTTATATTTCCTCCCAGATACCTCTGTATACACAGTTAAAGAATTTCTTCACCACAAGCAGTGAAAGCGCACTACAGAGGCACCAACTTGCTTTTGCACGCTCACAGATCGGGACTGAAAGCTCTATTACTATGAGTCTTCCTGCTCAAGTAAATACTGACAAGAGTGGTAAGCACCGTGCTGCAGCCATGAAAGAGGCTGTGCAGCACCCAGGGGAGGTTTATTATGGTATGGGACCGCCAGCTTTAGAGTCAAGCCACAGTGACTCTGCCAGCAGCTCTGGTGTTTATAATCAAGAGAAAGGGCCCCAGAGTTTACCGCACTATCAACAGGGTGCTCCAGTAAAATGGATGCACCAGGACTCCTTACAGGCCCCTGGCTGGTCCCAGGAAGTTCCTGTGTCGACCTGGGGACAGAATTTTGGCCCCTACATGAGCGGAGTGAATGTCAGGAATCAGATGACGTTCCACAAGGGAGTCCACGAAGGTGTAGCTCTGCCGATGGGAGGGGAAAATCAGCTGTCCGGACCTGTGGAGGTTTATAGAGATGCCACACAGGCTCCGGCTCAAGGCAGGGGGATCGAGTGGGAACAGCATGCTGCAGCGGCGGCGATGCACCAGGCTCAGCTGCAAGCCTATCAACATGGCCACAAAGGCGTGGAGCTCCAAGGCCAGTCACATGTGCCACCTCATGGTTTGCAGGGGTCCATGCTGCAGCCCTTCCAGGCAACATTTAGACCCAGCAAGCAACAGTTCTCATCTGGCTATTACTCGGTTTTTCCGGCAAACAAGGCAATTCCGAACCTGCCCTACAGTGAGCAGCCCAAAACTCAGCAGCAGCTTCTACACCAGATGCAGCAGCAGCAGCAGCAGCAACAACAACAACAGCAACAAATTCATCATCACCATCATCACCAACAGCAGCAGCAGCAACAACAGTTGCATCAACAGCATCAGATTCAGTTGCAGCAGCAGCAGCAACAACAGCAACATTTGCAGCAACAGCAGCACCAAATCCAGCAACATCAAATCCAACAGCTGCAGCAACAAATGCAGCAACAGTATCAGCAGCAGCAGCAGCAGCAGCAGCTCCAGGAGAGACAGCAACAAATCCAGCAAATGCAACAACAGCAGCAGCTACAGCAGCAAAATGTGCCACAGCAAGACACGACACAGCCACAGGTGCAACCAAAACAGCAGCAGACCCAAAACTTCGTCGCTTATCAGCCTGCCGAGCCGCCTTCATCTGAAACTGGGTCCAAAGAAGATGTTCAGTCGACGGAGCCGCAGCAGGAAGCAGAGGCTCAAAGCTGTGACGCGTCAGCCGTTCCTGATCAATGCCCCGAAAAGGCCGGCGCAAATCCCACAGAGCCCGCAAACGCGGCTGCTCCTCGGCGCTCGCGTCGCCTTTCCAGGGAGGGGCAGTCGCCACTGGATCCCCCTTCCACAAACATCTGGTCTCAAGCCAAAGAGCCTCCACCGCCCCAAAACGGAGTAGCGGGAGCGCAGGTTGCGAAAGCAGGGGAAAGCCAAGTGACAACAGGAGGGGTCATCCGTAGGAGAAGGAGAGCATCCAAGGAGATCAACTTGGAAACCCTGGCACAGAAGGCGTCAGAGATGGAGTCCCTGCCTGCAAAAATTGTAAAGGTAAAAGAGAAATGGCTCATTACACTGCTGCTGTAGGGAATATATCAATCATTTATGAGAGTAATATGATTTAAAAAAAAAAAGAAATAAAATACTCTTAGGCTCAGGTTGCTTGAGAGGGAACGGGGCAGGCAGCTCATTTGTGCAAGTGAGAGCAGATTTTCTCATCTGGCAAAGTTGGCAAGCAGCTGTACAAAGAGGAAGGACTCTGTTTCTATGCAGAACTTCCCTATGGTTTACAAAATCCTTTTCTTGGGCTTGTTTACTCGACTCGTGCAGCTGTTGAGCCTCAGCCATTGCGGGCTGTTTTAACAAGTTGCACATCGATACTGCAGACAACGTATCTGGTGAAACCTGAATGTCTGCCGTTCACTGAAGATTCGCCTTTTTGATCTGCTCTCCTCATTTTACTGCTGTATGAAAGATGATACGCTCTGTCGTTTTATTCAGGATATATAATATTTACTTTAATCGTGGCACACCCACTGGGGCCTGCTTCTTTAAGGTTTCTTTAGCAGTTTTTATTTTGTTGTTGTTTTGTTTTTTTTTTACATAAACACAAGTCGCAGAAATGAGTAAAACTCAGTCTGAGTCCATTTTAACGCAAGCAAACGGACAGGTAGTCCTCTTCCCTCAGGGGGTTACGAAGCTTATCGAAGGCTTTCTTGCACCGCGCGCACGTTGGAGCAGCTGCATGTCTGCACACCTCCACATTCCTCAGGCCTTTTCCCAGTCATTCAGCAGAGCTAGGGAGGGGCAGCACTGTCAACCTGTATAGCTACACTCCTTTTCTCCCCACTACACGCCAAACAGGTTTAAGGTGGCGATTCACAACCCAGAGCTGTTTCGTTGTGGTTAGTTAAACTGCACTTTGTTTTCTAGGTCAGGAGACGAGACTCGAGTGTCTTTACTTTTGTTCTTAACTTTTACTAATTATAAATCACAAAACTGATTCATGCTTTAACCCCCACCACTAGAAGCCAGGATTACTCATTTTGCTAGTTTTTCTTTGAGTTAAAATGAGCAGAAATACCAGGCAGGCATGTGGACGTCTCCGAAAGCCTGCCAAAGTATGTGCTTGTAAAGCCCTATGATGAAATTTTATATATTTCTATTTTTATTTTACAGGTGGAATGCACATGTTTTGAAAGAGACTTTAATTTTTCTGCTCTGTGGTGTTTATTTTAAATTTTCATTTTTAATTGATCTCTTAATTATGGCGTTTCAAGCTGATATGTGGTTTATTGGTTGAGGAATTAATTTTGAGGAAAATAATAAGTTACTACTTTATCATTTAGGTGCTTTTAAATCTTAAAAGTAAACTCATCTGCCACTTTATTGGGTACATGTTCCCCTCTATTCTTTAATCCTCTGTGGCATTGATTAAACGAGTTGTCTCAGAGAAATCTGTCCAGATTGACGTGATAGTATCATGTTTTTGTTGTCATTGCTACTTTTTATTCGAATAATGTATTTTTGAACTTTATTTGCATTTTTTTGTGCTTTCTATGTTCACTGGACACTTTATTAGGTACAACTAGATCTGCTAGTGTATGCATAACTAAAGCAAGGTGCTGGAAACATTCCTCAGAGATTTTGATGCATATTGATGTCATGACATAACACTGCAGATTTATCAGCTGCACGTCCATTGCATGAATCTCCAGTTCTGCCACATCCCAAAAGTGCCCAGCCAGATTGAGATCTGGTGGCTGCGAAGGCCACTGAGCTCACTGGGATGTTCAAGAACAGTTTGAGAGGATGGTGCGCTATCCTGTTGTTTACACTAATTCTGACCTACCACCTGGATGTCGGTGCAGAAACTGAGACTCATCAGACCGGGTAACATTTTTCATCTGTTGTGCAACTGTTGAGCCTGTTTGAGTTGTTGCCTCCGTTTCCTGTCTTAGCTGCCAGGAGTGGCACCCAGTGTGGTCTTCTGCTGCTGTAGCTCATGTTGTGAGTTAAGAGATGCTCTTCTGCGTACCTTGATTGTTATTATTGAAGATACTGTTGCCTATTTAACAGCTCAAAGTAGTCTGGGCATTCTCCTCTGATCTTTGGCATCAACGAGGCAATTTTCCCAGAGAACTGCTGCTCGCAGGATATTTTCTCTTTTTCTGATCATTCTCTGTAAACCCTAGAGATGCTTGTGTGGGAAAATCCCAGTAGATCAGCAGTTTCTGAAATACTCAGACAAGCTCATCTGGCACCAACAATGCCACATTTAAAGTCACTTAAATCGCATTTCTTCCAAGTGGTTGATTTGCACTTCAGCGGATCATCTTAACCGTGTCTATTTGCCTAATTGCACCCAGTTGCTGCCATGTGATTAACTGATTGGATATTTGTACTGATGCGCAGTTAAAGCAGCTGTACCTAATAAAGTGGCTGGTGAATGTAAGAAATGTATGTCTGTTGTATCTTGGGGACTTTTTAGTGATTCAAATGTTACAAAAAACAACGAAAGAATAGATATTTCTGTTCAGAAACAGTAATTCTGATTCTTTTTTTTTTTTAAATTGGAGCCGAATGCAAAAAAAGCTCATGTGACCACTTGGACTTCTTCCTCTTTTTATATCTCAATCCCTTTTCCTTTATTTTCCTGCTACTTCCTCAACTCTCTTCTGCCTTTTCTAATCTTCCTACCTCTTTCCTTATTGTGCCTCAACAGGAAGACGGTGCTTCAAGCAGGCAAGCCACAATGGTGCCCCTGGTCATCCCAGTATCCGTGCCAGTCCACAGAGGTCAAACAGATCCTCAGGGTGGTTGGGCTCAGGGGCGGCCCGGTCAGGGCGAGCGGCCTGCTGCACCATCCGATCGCAAACCTTCTGTCATTGTGGCTCGCCGGCGATCGCTGAGAAGCACCATGACTGAGAGTTTTGCTCAGGTTAGTTCCCTGAGGACGAGAGATTTGAATTGTTTTCCTTTCAGTCACTTTAAAGGGACTTTTTTCTTTTTTTGCATACCACGATGAAACACTTACAGACGTCGTGTTTGTAGATGTTTATTCAGGCTTAGACCACATTGCATAACTACCTTGATAACCCCCCTTTAAAATGCAAGTTTGAGCAGTATTGTTAGCAAAGACAATGTCATCCCACCCAGTTACACAAACAACCTCAAAGTTCAACTTCTCATGGGTCGGCTCAGACCTCGCAGTGGTTAAACATTGAGACTTTGAGTCTTTCAGACATCTGCTGAGGAGTAACAGAGATGTGCAACTGAAACTTGGACCAACCCACAATTTATGGACTGAATTAGATGATGTGACTCATTAATTCCAAAATCCTGAACCACATGAACATCATTACAGACTGTAGGTTCACAGTGAAGTCAGATTCAGGAAGTGCACTCATCACTGGGCCAGATGATTAAATCTATTTTATGTGTGTAATGCAAAAAAATCAATGTAGGGAGAAGACAAACTCCGAATTGAGCTTAGATATTTTTATCTGGTCGAGTAGGTTTGGTGTAGAGAGGTCTGCTTATTCTTACTGTAAAGCGACACCATGACCCGTTTAGGGCTAAACGTGCCAAAAATACATTTGCAAAATTCAGCTTCAGTGTCTTTTTCAGAATGACTTTATTCATACATTTTCATAACCACATAACCCAGACAGGTCATGAATCTGTCACAGGGCTTGTACAAAAAAAATGGGTGATCATTCACACATTCAGTTTAGAATCGCAAATTAAGCTAGCATGCATGTCGTTGCATGTGGTTGTGACAGTGGGGTGAGAAGTAAACATTAATGATAGTATTAGGTAGGAGTATTAGTGCAACAACATAAATGTCATTGTTCATTTTGAGAAAACAGTCAAAATACGGAGATTAAAGTTGGCGTTTCAATTACTCATCTATACCCGGCATTTTGTAGAGAGTATAGCAGCCGTGGGAGTTGTTTGACTTCAAACTACAACTTTAATCTCCAAATTTAAAATGAAATGAACAACAATGTACTTTTCCTTAATGTGGTCCTAGTACTTCTTCCTAGGGTATTTTAGCTTGTGCCAGCTCTGATTCTGTTTCTCTGTTTACTGGAGAAACTGGGCGCTGGGATTTCTGGAGTTGCAGCGGAGTTTTATTTATTTTTTTGCAAAGTCATAAAATTAAGGCAAGTCCCAGGTGAATGCACAGGCGATGCCTCCAAAGCTGGGCGTTTGACACCAACAGAGACATGGCACTACAGGCCTGAGAAAATGTTCAGTTGTTCTGTGTGGGACTGTTCCTTTAATTTCCAACAAGGTCTTCAAATGTTGGACATAGAGGTACAAAACTTTATCACATAAGTCTCAAGTCTCTCTCACACTAGCATAATTTGAATATCAGAAACGGTTTAGTCCAAAAGGATGTTTTAATACAGTTAACGATCTGGACCTGAGATTTAATAATAAATCGGTGAACTTTGAAAACGCCTTTCTAACCTGACTTGTTGTGTAAAACCCATTTACACCCCAGCTGATGAGGTGTTGTCGTCTGTGTGTGGCTTTTCCCTTCTCACAGAGAAACTTAGATTGTGTCACGATAAACCACGTGAGAACGTTCAGTCAGCTTAATGGCCGGTTGTGTCTGATCCAGGAGCAATAAAGGTTAATACAGGAGGAAGGTGGAGGATAGCAGGGAGAATTTATTCCTTGATTCCTTGAATTTGATCAGTCAGGCGTGAAACCTGCTTATGATTGTTATAAAAAATATAGGTTTGTGTTAACTCTGCTTCTTCCATTCAGGATGAGGAAAGCGATACAGGACTTGATGAGGACGGAAAAGCTAAACTGAAGCGCAGGCCACGTCCCGAACCTCTCATCATCCCTCCCCCCAAACCATCCACCTTCATCGCACCATCCGTCTACTCCAGCATCACTTCCTTTCAGAGCAACCTCCGTTCTCCGGTGCGCCTGATGGACAACCCTCTTACCTTTCCCCCATACACGCCACCACCCATCCTGTCTCCTGTGCGGGAGGGCTCCGGACTCTACTTCTCCACCTTCCTCACTAACATAGCTGTAACCAACCAAATCCTGCCGCCCCCGCCTACGCCCAAGTCTGCAGCTCGGAGCCTTCTGCGTTCCAGTGAGTCTCGTTTGCTTCAGTTCTTTTGCAGTGATATATGTGAGTTACTTATTTGAATAAATTACTTAACAAGCAAGTGCTTTTTCATTCGCCTCTTCCAGCGAGTTCAGACGTTACGCCGCCTAGCTTCACCTTGAACGCCGAGGCTACACCTGTGAGCCTCGAACCGTGAGTAGCACTTAAACATCCAAACAACCTACTATTGTTTCTAACTGACAGCTTCATAACTCAGCCCTCTGTGTTGGCATTCAGACGGATCAACATTGGGCAAAAGTACCAGGCAGAAATTCCTGATTTGCAAGATGAAGCTTCTTCCCAGTCCGCCCAGCACAAAGCGGACTTGGTTTGGGTTCCTATTGATGACGCCGCCTTCAAACATGGTGACAAAGAGACCAGTAAGTGTCCATCATAACATGTGACCTACCGACCTCGCTTTTTATTCATACTTTGAGCTTTTTGTCACCATCGACACTCCTCACGTTCTCTTTGTAGTGGATGATTTGATGAACATGGCATGTTCAAGCGTTTTGAGAGGAGGAGGAACCAATCAGGAGCTGGCTTTGCACTGTTTTCATGAATGTGGAGGAGATTTCCTTGTGAGTAAAGTGACGTACAGATATTACATTATTTACACTACTACTTATAAGTGTTTCATAGCTTTCAAATGAGGGACATGCCTTTGCTCACGGTGATGCCAACTTTTAAGGAAACACTGGGACGTTTGATGCATCAGGATCCAATTTTCCCCAAAGGCCATCAATTGATAGGTTATCACTACTCAGGTAACAACAACAAAAAGAAGCTTTTTATGCTAATTGCTTCAATCGGCTGTCACGTGCTTTCCCTTTGCCTTTCTCTGCAATTTATGCTCTTGCTCACTCGCCTATTTTTACTGCATTTGTTTTCCCCTCAGGCTCTGACAGCTGGACAGCAGAGGAGAAGCGGTTTTTCAATAAGGGGATCTCTGCCTACAGGAAGGACTTCTTTCTGGTGCAGAAACTGGTATGCTCGTTAATTTGACCCTGCAGCAAGAACAACTGTGAATCAGTGGGGGGGAAGAAAGCAACCAAACAAACAGTTGAATACGATTAAATGCACTCTGTGTAGCGTCAATAAATCCTTTGTGCACTCCTCGAGGCATTCACGTAATTGCTTTAATCAAACAAGACAATAATAGTTAAGACGTTCGGTCTTTGCTGCATGATGCCAGATTTAGATGTAATGGAAAATGAGTAAACAGGAAGAGGATGCTCACCTCTCAACACAAAGACGAGCTGCATCTTTAAAAAGGTTCAAAAAGTCATTCAGACTGAAAAATTCACATCCTCTTTGCGACAGGAAATGACTATTTTTATAGGAAATGTGGGCTTTAAAAAAAAAAAAGCGGTAAAATAAGCTGAGACAGAGTGACTTCTCAAGGATTATCTTACGTATTCTTATTATTCAATAAAGCTTTACATGTGCACGCTTCTCTGACTGTTTTAAAGGTGCGGACTAAGACCGTGGCTCAGTGTGTGGAGTTCTACTACACATACAAGAAGCAGGTGAAAGTTGGTCGCAATGGGATTTTAATGTTCGGCCCTCCTGATTCACCTGTGGAAAAACACGCAGAGGCAGTCGTGGACGTCAAGGTAAGCGCGGTTAAATCTGACCTTTATTTTAAAGAGTCAATATGCAGTCATGGTAATAAAAAGCACATCCTGAATTCTAAGGTCAAGTAATCTGGTCCTTTAATTTGTTGTTTATCAAACAAAAGTTAAACCAAAATGCAGAAGCACTGTGTGAAAAATTACAGCCTCAAGAGGCTACGTGGCAGCCAGGTGCTGCTAATCAAATGCATTTGATTGATTTTTGTTAACCTTTATTGAGATAGGGCAGTGGAGAGGAATCGGGAAAGCTGGGTAAGAGAGCAGGAGGAAGACGTGCAATAAATGACTTCAGTGTGGCTTGAAACCAAGGCCTCTTCAACAGCCTCATGGCCATAATTAATAGCGCCACATCTGCTGAAACTCCTCTCATACAAACACACATTAGAGCACAAGCGCCTGATACCAACTGTCAGGCACGTTGGTGGAGGAGTGAGGATTTGGGCTTGGTTTTGCAGTCAAAGTCAACCATGTGAGGCCACTTGTCCAACAGCTTAAGCTTAGAGTTATAAAACAGGGGAATGACCCCAAACCCAGCAGTAAATCTGCAACATCATTTCTGGGTGTTATAATTGTCCAATTAAAAACCCGACGTCAACCTGACTGAAATGTTTTGGCAGGAGCTTGGAGAGCTGTGCATAAACAAATGCCTGCAAACTTTAGTGAACTGAAGCAACACTGTAAAGAAGGGTGGGACAAAATTCCTCCACAATGATGTGAGAGACTGATTAAGTCACAGAAAACAGTTACTTCACATTAGTGCTTCTAAAGGTGGTTAAATAAGCTCTCAAATTATGGGATGCACTCAGCTTTTCAAACACTGCTTCTTAATTTTTGGCAAAATTGTTGTTAAATAAATAATAACACTTTGTAATATGTTGTATTGTTGCTCACCTGAGGTGGTATTTACCTAGCATTAAGTACACCAGGTGTGCTTTAGATTATGTGCTTGTACATAAAACCTTTTGAATTGATTGGTGTACTGTTTACCATGACCGTATATGTAGTATTTGCAATGTCTCATGTGCGCTCCAGTGTGCATGGTTGAATGTGTCTTCCATGCTATATTTATCTGTGTGAATATATTTAGGATTAATTAAAAGTCGTCAACATTTTTCAACTAATCAAATGGAACTTGAGTGTTTTTAAGAAGGGGTTTCATTGTGTGTGAATACAGATGTCTGCACATGGAGAAAGATGCTTTGTGCCACATCTTTTTGCTGCTATGTTATTTTAAATACACGGCAGCAAAAAGAAACAGACACCCTTCAGCCAGTGGCTTTCTTCAGCATTTCTGATACATGTATTTGTGTGACCCTAAATAAAGCAACCCCTGGACCTATTCTCTGGTTGACAGCAGTTATTTACAAAAGTACCAAAATAAGGATGTGCTCTGGCCACGCAAAATGTTAAGACCACTGGAATCAAGAACGATGAGTTGGTGGTTGTGAGAAAAGAAGGGTTGCACATTAGCTGGTCTAAAAATGTAGAGTAATAATCATATTTATATATGATTATTACTCCATATAAAGATGTCTAGATCCAATTTTTAATCTAATCCTATCCTTCCCCGTATATAGAGCCTGTTAGTTTGAAACAAGATACCCACTTTACTTCTGATTGGCTGCCCCTCATCTGGGTTCCTTGAATAGAGTAATACATTTTGTGTATCCACTGTTAATGTACTTTCTTTTTTTTTTTTTTGGGAGGGGGGGGGGGGGTCTGGCAACTAAGAAAGCATTTTGAGGAAATCTTGAGACAGCTGAGTCAAGTGTACCAGGGAGTGGAGGCTGCAAAACTCTCAACAGCTGCGACTTTATTAAGGAAAACCGCTGTTTGTGTTGTTTGTTTTTTTTTGGGGGGTTAGGGGGGACAATTAAGAAGAAAGACTAGGGTAAAAAAATAAATAACGGGTCCCCTTTAATGAAGGAACAAGGATCTTATTGTCTTGAAGTAATGTTTAAGATTCTGGGTCATAGTCTGCCTAATTTCCCTGGTGGGATTCCTTACAGAGTTCACAGCAGCCGAAGATGACTCAAGGTGAAGCGGATGAGGATGACAAGAAGAATATGTCTTTAGAGCAGATCAATGAGAGAAAACAGCAGGCGAGGGTCGCTCAGTCACTACAGGTTCATGACTATGTAAGTTTCATTTCATAGTTCTTTGATACACATCCTTATCAGTTAATATATTTAAAATAAGGAAAAAACAATTTATTTATTTATTTATTTGAAAAAATCAAAATTTTATGAACCATTGGTCTAAACTGTGCTAAAACGCAACCTTCTGTTTCTGCCTCTTCAGGCAGGAACAGTGCTGGTGCTCAAAGAGCCAGATACTGTTCATAAAGAGGCTCATCAGTCTCCAGCACTTCCCAGATCTCGGGCCGAGCCTGCTGCAAAGAAGCCCCGGGTGCCACTGAAGCCCTCGCAGGAACCTGAGCAGATTTTTCCTTGCAAGAAATGCAACAGGTACGACAAAAGCCATCACAGAGATTGGCGTTAATTCCTGACCTGTTAGCATTGTGTTATGAATGTTTGCTCATTCATTATAAGAGTCCAAATAATGCTGGTGATTTTTGGTTCATCTCAGTGTGCTGATCTCTGTGGGGCACAGTGTGTTTAGAAGTTTCCGTGAATTCCGTGATATATTTATTTATTTATTTATTTATTTATTTATTTTTTCAATAGCGCCGCTTTATTCCAAGCAGTTGCTATCAAGCATAACGCTGCACCCTTTTCCTCCCTTACAGAGTGTTTTATAAAGTGAAGAGTCGAAGCGCTCACATGAAGAGTCATGCCGAGCAGGAGAAGAAGGCTGCAGCGCTGCGTCAGAAGGAGGAGGAGGAGCAGGCAGCAGCTCAAGCTCGAGCCAGGAAGGCGGCAGCGGTGGCAGCAGCAGCAGCGGCGGCGGCAGCTGTGTCTGCTGCAGAGACCCAGCGGGGAGGTAATGGGAATGGAGCGTCAGAGCAGGCTGAGGCCAGCAGCCAAGAGGACTCATCAGAGGGGGAGGATGACGACGATGAAGACTGGCAGTGAGACCGATATAAAGACGAACATTAATGGGATGGATTGACGTGTAAATAGAGGGGAGATGGTGAACAAATCAGGGAGGGAGGTGTTTAAAAACACGTGCTCCCCTATGAGGAGCAGAATAAGCACAAGATGCTTTTAAAGTCTTCCTGTTGATCTTTTCACTTGTTTCCTGACCTGAACTGTTTGTCTTTGACTGTAATTCAGATTCACACCGTCAGCGTGTAAGCCACACTCCACATTTTCACATTTGTACCTTTTGAAATAATCAGTTTGTTTTTTTTGTTGTTTTTTTTTTTTGTGTGTGTAAAATGTCCGTGTGCTATGCTTCTGCTTTTGCTAATAGGGCCTTTTTAAATCTTATTTAATTGAACATATGTTAAGATCTTCAATGGTTGTTTGATGAATCAGGATATCTTTCTAGCAATAAAATGAGATCAAGGCAATCATTACTTTATAGTTGCTTCCCTTTAAAGACAGAAGCCATTCTGTTTCAAATACTTCTTACAGGAAAAAAAAACAGCGCTGAATTTAGCAGATTTCTATCAGATTTTTAGGTGGGTTGTACACTTATTTTTAAACTAAGGGACCTTTGAAATGAATATGTACAAAAAATATATATATGAGACTGTCATATATTTATGATACTGCATTTTTTTTTTTTTTTTCTCAGTGATTTTGATAATATAAAAAGTAATCATGTCGGCTGTAATGTGACTGGTGAATTGAGAAATGTATTAAAGAAATATATTCTTCTGAGGAGTGGATGGGTTTTTTTGTTTAACCAGCAGATGGCGACAGAGGTTCAGTGTGATCTGAGAATTTCCTTCATGGTTGCCTGTAGGTGAATGGAAATATTGCTGTTGTCTGATTGGCCTAAGATAAACGTGGCTGAAATTCTATGTAGACCAAGTCAAGATTTATGTCATTTTATATTCCTAAATCATAACATCCTTATACATCTAGTGGGCAAAGAGAGATTTACTTCTAATGCTGTGCTCATAGGTCTTATATGCCAGACAGGCTCCAAAGGCCTATAATTTTAAGATTAAGGGCTGGAAAGCCAACTTGTCTTGAGACGCTAGGGAGTGGTGAAATTTTGCATTGATCTTTGGTGGCATAATTCAGCCATTTAGGAGTGTGAGCCATAAAGGGAAATGATGCTCTCGGGAGATGAGATGCGAGGCATATTGCGCTGAGATTATTGAAGACAAAGTGGCTCTGTTTCTGTCTCCAGCCCATCAGTGACTGAGTGGCCTTCATTTACGTTCCTCCTGCTGCAAAAATCTAGCAGCAGACATTGTTTAAACACATAATCTGACTTTGGATGAGTGTAAGAAAAAAAAAAAAATCCACATTTGTTTCATGTGATCCTTTGATTTAAAGTGGACCTACTATGATTTTCTTTACATGCCAAAAGCTCAGGCTACAGACTGCCTGAAACACTTGGTTTTACACATTTTTTTGCACGCTCTAGAAGTTTTAAATGAGAAGAGCTTTTTTATTTATTTATTTTTGTTTCTTTAACAGGAAAAATATATACTCATAACTATGTCCTGTCTTCTTCCCCTCACCACTAACTGGTCGCAACAGAAGGCAGCCCTCCCTGAGCCTGGTTCTACTAAAGGTTTCTTCCTGTTAAAAGGCAGTTTTTTCTTTCCCACTGTCTCCAAAATGCTTGCTCATAGGGATTATCTGATTGTTGTTGTTTGTTTTGTTTTTTTTCTGTTTTCCTTCTATGGGTCTTTACATTACAGTACAAAGACAATTAAAGCAACTAACTGTTGATGTGATTTGGAACTATATAAATAAAACTGAATTTAATTTAAAAATTGAATTGAATTGAATAAATTGAAATTGAGTAGTGTGTCTGGTCAGATAAAAAACTAGCCAGCTAAATAATAACAGGAGCTAGTTTTAAGCTAACATTATACCTAATATAAAATGTCCTAAAAAAATAAAATCACAGTTTTCCTCTGATTTAATTTTGATCATTTGATTACATGCTCACATCATAAGAGAGTTTATTCGGCAAGTGTCCAAGTTCAACAATGTTGTTCTATTTAAAGAAAGATTCACTAATGCAAGCTAAAAACAGCTAAGCGAAGCTAATCTGTTAGCTGAGGCTAATAGCGGCTAACCCAAATTAATGCTTTGCTGAGCTTTAATGTATTTGTGTTTTATTTTACTGTTTCCATCTTATACTACCTTTTCCTTTTACTCCACTGTATGCTGGATAATCAAGTTTAACATTAGTTATTAGGTAAATAACAAATTGAATTCATGTTTTTTATACCTGAATTTAAACCATCACATTAGACTTCTCTGAGAAATCAGAAATTAATCAAATATTAAACCACTAAAAGCTTCTCTCTGTAAAAAAACAAAACAAAAAAACAAAAAACACTAAAACTAATTTCTCTGTTCAGAAATGGAAGTAAATAGCTGTAATATGGCATCTTAATTGAAAAATAATCAAATGCTTTAAGATCATGTTTTTGCTTTTTTTGTAAAACAATAAATATAATTCCAGCTAAAGCGCTTCCACATACCGGTGGATTAAATATTACAGAAACATTTCAGGCAGCTGTGACATAAACCTTACATTTCTGGTCTCATTCATGTGTTGTAGCCCCCCTCACTGTGTTCCCATGCTGTGTTCTTGCCACTCCTGGTCCACCCCATGTAAAAAAAATCCTGCTAATGCCTCTACTGCAGAAGGTGTAGAAATCAAAATGCTGACTTGCAGTTTGCACTATATAATTTTTCATTACTGATGGCCCTCTCAACACCACCCTGCCACAAAACCAGGCCAAATGTAATGACTTTACAACGAAAATGAAAAAGATGAGGGTTGCACATGACAAACTCATTGGGCACTTCAAGAAGATGAATAAGAACACCTCTACACATGCTTAATCATGTGATTACTGCACGATGCAGTTGTAAAGCAGCATAGGGCATGGGGCAAGGCAGTATGTAAGATAAAATCCTGGAGATGGAGGCCAGGAACTATGACACATGAGTAAGGGCAGGATTTCTGAAACGGACCTTCTGAGATATTCACCACAAAACAAAACAAAAAAAACATTGTTGATGATAAAGCTGAACAGCCAACCTGATTTGGAGCTAAAGAAAATGGGTATGGTAACTAAAGATCACCAGTCTCATAACTGAAATTAGCCAAAAAGCACAATGAAGAATATATCCAACACATAGGCTGATGAGTTACAACAGCATAAGACCACAAACAAATCTGCCCTGTCCTTTCTCAAAAGTCCAGGCTGTTTCTTTTGCATTTGTTTGAGGAATATTAATGGCAATCAATAAAATTTCAAACGCCACAGCCTTTGAAGAATGTCGGCAACTGTCACAAGTTGTTGTTACATCATCAGTGAAATTCAAGCCTCATTCACACTTCTCTGTTTTATCTCACAGTGTGACAGAAGTTGAATAAACCAGTCTGCTTGCCATGCAGGCTCACATGGCATTAGACATTTGCACATGATGGCTCCTCTGTGGGTTTCTGCTATATTTGGTTACCCATAACTTCTTCCTAGGTGTTGCTGAAAAGTCTCTGTATATTTGGAGAAGGATAATCCTTGTGTTATAATATATCATCTAAAAGTTTTTTTTAAAAGCTCCGCTTAGATCCAATAAACAAAAAGAGAAGGTTCAAAAGAATTTGAGATACAACACACATTCCCTCTTTGCAATATCAAGTTAATCCTGATATATTCGTCTTGCAGATTACTAGCTGATGTGAGAAAGTGAGTCAAAAAAATGATAAACCACCACATGACATTAAAGCTATCTGTAACTACCCGGCCCTTTTCTAACAGTTGAACAAAGCAAGAGGCGCATTCATTGCTTTATTGTCTTTGCCTGTGTGTACATGCAATTAAATTAGCTGATTACTGGGAGCCAAACATGCTTGGTAAAGCATGTTTACGATTGCGCAAATCCACACGGGCAGATTTAAAATCAGGATCTGTGTAAAGATGGTGCCGAAAACTACCTTGGGAATTCGGATTTAGGTTACACAAAAGTAAAGAAATAGCTCACTGGAGAATGTCAACTGTATCCCAGATGGAATTGCTTTATTGGATGAAAACAGACTGCGTGACCAGTGCAGTGACAGATTACCGGTGTATCCTCGCAGGAGAGATTTCTCATTACAAATTGGGAGAATTTTTTAATAAATCAGTTTTATCTCATGCAGATTTATGCAGAAAGATGCTCTAAAATCTAATCACATCATCTGCTCCATGTGGATCACCTGTGGCATAAGCATAAATTTTGCACTGTGATGATGGGACATAAAAAGTAAGCAGTTAATTTCTTGTAGATGAATAATTTCTGGGACCACTTTGGATTCTGAAAGACAGACAAAATATGAAACATGAAGGATACACTAAGTAACATATTTCCTTATAAAACACTAAAACGTTTCTTCTTAAGATCATTAAGCTTTTTAAAGTGTGCAACTTAGGAAACATTAACAGTTTAAAAAGTGTGGCTATGTGTGTGTGTGTATATGCAATGAAATGCAGCTGACAGTGTGGTGTACTCACTGTCCTGAGGACTTGTTTTGCCGTGCAAGTGACAGAGTATTACTGGGTTTACAGTGAGGATCAAATGTCTTCCCTGAGCACAGGGCCTGCTAATAAAGCCCCATTAGAAACCCAGTTATATGGATGCAATAAAATAGATTGGGGCGTAGAAGATGAAGATATTACAATTCAGACTGGAGTGGCACAGTGGAGACAAAGGCTAAATGCTAAATCAATGTCATTAAATGTCTGGAAGACGAATGCGGGGATCTGTGGCTCTCAACCAGCAGGGCCAAGGTTAAATCTGATGCAAAGCAGAGAGATTATTAATGTTCAGCCAGTGAGCAAGAAAATATTTTCACGGTTTGACCTGTGCGGCAGCAGGTCAGTTTCATTCTTGTGGTAGCTGTATGGAAGGAAACCAAGGCCAAAGTGTATAGCATGCTCAAAAAGAAACTCCTTATAGATGACGCACCATGCAGCAGGCAGTATTTCAAATTGTGGTTCCTTAACAGGCAAAAGCATTCAATATTCATGATATGATTTTTCATCATTAAAAGACATCAAATCTTGTTTGCTGTCTGTGATAACAGTGCTCATTATGACAAATATTTAATCAGCCACTTAAAAAGCACTGAACTATGAAACAAATGGACTACAGCAGCAGAAGACCACACCTGCAGCCTCAACTAAGAACAGGAAGCTGAGGTGATAATTCACACAAGTTCACCAAAATTTGACGTTTTTCTAAAAGATTATTGGAAAAATGTTACCTCGTCTGACGAGTCAGAGTTTCTGCTCTCACATTTAGATGGTAAGGTCAAAATCTGGCTTAAAAAAATGAAAGTATGGATCCATCCTGTCTTGTATCAAAGGTGTATCAAAGTTTAGGCACCTTACTATCAACCGAGCTTTATTTAAAGTGAAACTGGTTTCTCAGATGTGACACTGAGTTCACTGTACTCAAATGACCTCCACAGTCACCAGATCTGAGTCCAGTAGACAGACCCGTTTGGGATGTGGTGGAATAGGAGATTTGCATCATGGATGTGCGGCTAACAAATCTGCAGCAACTGTGTGATGCTGTCAAGGCGATATGGACCGAAGTCTCTGAGGAATGCTTGCAGCACTTTATTGAATCTATGCCATGAAGATTCGTGTCAGCTCTGACTGCAAAAGTGGGCCCAATTTAATAGTGACCAGCGAATATATAAAGTGAAAATAATGCAAATAAAGTTATGAAAGTAAATATATTAGTCGACAAAGATGGGTAACAATGAGGAGGGTAAGATAGGTATGAAAAATAAAAGTACAGGCTCCACTTCCCTCACTGTCACTCTGATCAATCAATGAAAGGACAGATGAATGACTGACAGCTTTTGTGTTCCTGTCTGTCTGTTTCTGAGTTTCGTTATTGTCAAACTCAGAATCTCTGGCTGTCTGAGAATTTCTGTCCATAAAAATGGAGGAGAATCACATGTTCCAAGGTGACAGTCCATGCAAATGGTTTTAAATATATATGCACAGCAAAAGCGAACTGAAGCATCCTCCCTTTGAGGGGTTAAGGTACCTGACACGAACCTCACTCTCCCTGGATTGTGTCTTCCTCGGCACATTTGTAGAACAGGGGACACGATGTCTACTGTTTCTCTGTTCTCTACTGCCCCTTTTAAATGAAGGCAAAAAGGTAAAAAGAAAAGAAAATCTGTACGTGCAAAATTTTGGCTACACATTTAAAACCTGTTCCCTCAAAAAAATCAGCATTCAGTTTCAATGCATTGTTGAAGACAAGTTATTCGGATTATCGTGATTATGTTTTACCTAAAAAGCCAAGCCGTTGGTTAGTGTTAACAGACTTTATAAAATTACAGTTTGCTTCAAAACTTTCCAAACCAGAATCCAATTTATCTCTTGCGCGTTTCAATAGCACATGCATGCGTCAGTTTTCTTCTGCTTATTCGATTCAGGGTTGTCTGGGGCTGGAGCCTATCGCACAGATAGGGTCACAGAGATTTTAGGACTTAACTTTGTTGTTGTGTAGATTGTAGTTATTTCAGTTGGATAGAAATAATTGCAAATGATCAGTGGTTTCCTTGCAGCAGCCCCTGCCCATTACCAACCTAAGTTCAAGTAATTTTGTAGTTATTTTTGCAGCGCATGGTCAGAAAGGACGGTGGTTCTTTGGTGGGGAACTCCACGTCTCAAGGGCCGATGTCCTGCAGGGTTTAGATATCACCCTGGGTCAACACACCTGAATCAAATGTTCATTACATAAGTTCATTACTAGGACTCTGGAGAACTTCAAGACAAGTTGAGGATGAAATCCAGCCATTTAAATCAGCTGTGTTGGATTAATGATGCATCTAAAACCTAAAGGTTTGCTCTACTAAAGATTCATAAGCATACTAATGTCAGCTAATCACCATTAATTAGTGTATTTTGCAGGTGTGTGGTCACACTGATGGATATTATTCAGAGCCTACAAATGGAAAAGTTCAAGTTGCTTAAATGATTTATGACTCAATTCATTAGTTACAACTTACACATTTGGTAAACAGAGCATCTCATCAGAAAATGGACCAAAAAAAGTTAAGTTGGAAGTGCATGTTATTAAGCAGAAAGCTGTAGACTACATTGATTTATTGTATTTTGCTTGAAAACACCCCGAAAAATTCCATTAAATAATTTGAAGCATTTATAAATCAGCTTGTTCATGATGATGGAGCGTGTGCCTCCAGCTTCCTCTGAAGCTATGATCTATGTACTACACATAATCTCTGCAGCATTGCTTACATCCAGCTGCCCTTGATGCTGAAACGAAATCGCTTCATTTAATGACCGTATTGACCATATAACTGACAAACCACTCGGCGGAAATTTGGTCAGTGGCCTTGAGAGATGTAATCTGCTTAGCTGACCTCCTGCCACGTGTCATCTCTTACTTTGATTGCCTGCACCCGTGTCATCTCCACCTAAAGCTCGGCTTCGTTTTACAGTCTAGAGCCTCGTGCTATGCTGTAGATCAGCTGCTACTCTACTCTCACACAGTAGCTCACTTAATGGAATTAAACCCATCTGTCTGTATTTTAGCAAGAGTCAGCAGCGTTACTCACTCGGTTATGTAAATGGTCT